TCTAACACGTGGCTGCTCCATTTGGTCTGTGAAACATTAGACCTTTGCTTCTTCTCTTCGGTCTCTGTCTCAGACCAGATCATCTCAGGAAAAGTAACGATTTCAAAGTCGAAGTTTTCGTACAATCACAGAGAAAACACAAACACACACACACACACACACTTTAGTACTCGCCTCAGTAAAAGTAACTATAAGTATAAATATTTCACACTTATGTGTTGTCTGCGTAAAGAATTGGTGCACTTTGACCAAAACATTCAGGACTCATAATTATTTTGAACGGTCAATACGAACTCATCTGTACATCCAATCCACTTTATTTAAATTTATATATATTATATATATATTTTATAAAACAAGTTTCCAAAGTGCTGCACAGAGATAAAATCAACACATTTAAATATGCACAAAGTAAAAACAATACAAATGTAATAAAAACAATAAAATACCAGTAAACTATAAACATGTGATAAAAACAATAAAATAGAAGTTATCCGATTTAAAAATAATAAATAAATAAATAAAAACAATAAAACAAATAAAACAAAATAAAAAGAGGACCACACAACTCACGCGGTGTTAAAAGCCAGAGAGTAAGTCTCGTCCTAAGACGAGACTTAAAACATTCCAACGAGGGAGCAGTTTGGACGTAAATAGTAAATACTGCAATCATGTGCAATTTCAGAATGTCCACTGAATACAACATTCACTGAATATTTCGATATATAAATTATTATTATTGCTCTCTTTAAAGGAGCGGATCCCTCTCTGAATCTGGGCCTCCCCGAGGTTTCTCACTGTTTCAGTGTTTTTTTTCTTAGAGTTGTTCCTCTGACGCAGGAGGGTCTGAGAGAGAGGTGATGATCCAACCACACTTATGGACACTGGTCTCTGCTGTTTATGGACTCTGTGTGTTTTCTATCATTGCATTTCCTGTGTTTGAACAGTTTGATTCTCTGATCAGTAGTTGGAGAATCAGCAGATTTGTAAAGTCCAGCAGCCGCAGCACTGAAACTTGCCCACTCTGGGACGAATAAAGATTCTGTCTGATTTAAAAAGTACATGTCTCACATTGTGTTGGCTCGCCTCTCCGCAGATATCACAGCAGGAGCCTATTCACCAATGAAGGTGGAAAATCCCATTCCCAGTGCTAACCTCCCCAAAAATTTGATTTAAAACGGTTTGATTCTCTGATCTGTTGTTGGCGAATCGACAGCTTTGTAAATTCCTCAGAGAAAACTACAGATGTGATTTAGGTCAATCACAACAGGTACAAAAACAAACGATAAATAATTGTATTTATTTATCGTTTATTTGGTGGGGACAGTACATGTTCATGAACACATCAGTCTGGATTGTACCATCCGTTGTCCCACATTCACATTCGCACTCACAAACACACACTCATTCATTCATCTGAACTATTGCACGGTTTTTTTAGTGGTAGGTGAAACCGGAGCACCTGGAGGAAACCGCAGATACAAGGATCACATGCAAACTCCCCACGCCCTGTTCCGACCGGGATTCGAACCCAGAACCCTCTTGCTGAGAGGCGAGAGTGCCACCGTGTCCCCCAAATTGAATTCAAAATGTCACTGGGAACAGCTACACAAATGGGATCAAAATTTTTTTACTGAGAGAAAACATTTCGTGGCTCAGTTGGTAGAGCATTGGCCTTTGGGGTTGAAGGTTGTGGGTTCAAGCCCACCACGAGACCTACTTCACAACACCCCCTGATGACTGCTGTCGTTGTGTCCTTGGGCAAGACACTTAACCCCACTTTGCCTGAAGCTGCTGCTGAAAGATCTCAGCTCCTGTGGACTCACCGCCTGCAGGAGGATCAGTGAGGGGCTGGTGCTCTGACTGCCACCTCCGACCCAGAAATGGATTAAGGGGAAGAAGATGGATGGATGGAGTTTCACAGTAAAAGAAAGTGTGTTTACGTACAGGGGTTAAACTGTGGAGCAGCTTCAGGAAAACATTCCAACACAATATTTTTTGAAGGAAAACCACATTTGTGTTTGTTCATGTAGCTAACATGTTGTAAATATGTAGCTAACATGTTGTAAATATGTAGCTAACATGTTGTAAATATGTAGGAAAATATAAGTGTATAAAATATATGGAAGATATACTTTTGTAAGAAAGTGTAAAACCAAAGATATTTAGACCCTGAACGAGGAGCTTTTCAAGTGGATTTTCTTTCTTTTATCATCAGTGTCGTCCCACCACTGTTTTTGTTGTTGTGCATTATTTACATTTTTTCATTGAGCTTGAAACAAACCAAACTAAACCGAAACAAAAGTCACTAAAGCACACGACTGTTATTTGGTAACTTTATTATCAAGTTAAAAAAAGACAATGAATTACAATATTTACAGAATATCCAGAGATAATGGAATAAAATTGTAAACAATCATTCTAGGCGACATCACAACCCACCATCAGGGAATCGGGAAAAGAAAAGGCAAGAAGAAGAAGAAGAAGAAACTAAAGCTCGACGTCTGAAGTCTAAAGAGGAAGGCGTCATTCACAAACTAAACATATGTACAATATCCAGTGTCTCCTCAGACTCGGGCGTTTATCCAGTGTCACCAAAAAACCGTCGGTCTGAAGGTTTTGTCAACAGACGTTTAAATAAAGCAGGATTCAAAGCTTTCGCCAAGTTTTTTTTTTCATACAAGGTTATTTCGAAAAAGATTCTCGCTGGTCCAGAAATGTTTTAACGATAATAGTGCGGCCTCAGGAGCACGAGGGAGGCTACGGATCAACATGGGGGGGCCTCAGGGAGAGAGAGAGACAGGATGGGGGCGGGGCTTGAGAGAGAGATGGACATGATGGGGGCGGGGCTTGAGAGAGAGATGGACATGATGGGGGCGGGGCTTGAGAGAGAGATGGACATGATGGGGGCGGGGCTTGAGAGAGAGATGGACATGATGGGGGCGGGGCTTGAGAGAGAGATGGACATGATGGGGGCGGGGCATGAGGGAGATAGACAGGATGGGGCGGGGCCTGAGGGAGATAGACATGATGGGGGCGGGGCTTGAGAGAGAGATGGACAGGATGGGGGGGGGCATGAGGGAGATAGACAGGATGGGGGCGGGGCATGAGAGATAGACAGGATGGGGGAGGGGCATGAGAGAGAGATGGACAGGAGGGGGGAGGGGCATGAGAGAGAGATGGACAGGAGGGGGGAGGGGCATGAGAGAGAGATGGACAGGATGGGGGAGGGGCATGAGAGAGAGATGGACAGGATGGGGGAGGGGCATGAGAGAGAGATGGACAGGATGGGGGAGGGGCATGAGAGAGAGATGGACAGGAGGGGGGAGGGGCATGAGAGAGAGATGGACAGGATGGGGGAGGAGCATGAGGGAGACAGTCATGAGGGGGGCGGGGCATGATGGGGGTGGGGCTTGAGGGTCTGATTCAGTATAAAAAGGACTTCGAACAGGTCCAACATTTTTGTAATTCTTTGTCAACACAAGAACTCCCAGAGCAGTCAATTTGACGGCTTTCAGAGTTTATTTCAACGCCATCTTTCAATTTGAAAATGAGAGTAGTTTTAGTACCTTTAACTCCCAAAGCAGACATTTTGACTGCTCCTGATAGTCTATGGCAGATAAAGCCCCCTTTCTCCAAGGCTCTGGTCCTGGACTGGACTTTAACTGGTTCTGAACCGAGTCTTGGTTTGGTTTACCACCAGAGAAGACCAACACACCGTTTACGTGATAGCAGTTAGCAGTTAGCATTTAGCCTTTTTGGTGATTTGATCAGATACCATTGATTCTTCAGGGAGCCGACAAAAGGACTGCTCTGGGACTCCTGGTGTTAAAAACTAGTGTTAACAGACTTCTGACACATTGATGGTTTTGGGAAACAGAATTTAGTTTTTCTGACTTTACACCTTGATGTCTTGAGTTGTGTCCAAACCGTTCACAAGAGAATTATCGACACAGAGATAATAATCCCTCTCGTTTCATGTCGTGTTGAGACCAGTGGAAACATGAGGACGTGTTGTTGCAGAAATGTGGAGACTTTGAATTGTTGACAAACGATTGGTTGCGTTTGTTGATCTTAAATAAGGCTCGTTAAGGAAGGTTCGTCGATTAGAAGTTACTTGGTTCTTCTACACAAGACAAATGTAAAATATAGAGCCGTGTGATTACCCCTGCAATACTCCTGGGTCTACAGTCTCAGTCCTGGGTCTACAGTCTCAGTCCTGGGTCTACAGCCTCAGTCCTGGGTCTACAGCCTCAGTCCTGGGTCTACAGTCTCAGTCCTGGGTCTACAGTCTCAGTCCTGGGTCTACAGTCTCAGTCCTGGGTCTACAGTCTCGGTCCTGGATCTACAGTCTCAGTCCTGGGTCTACAGCCTCAGTCCTGGGTCTACAGTCTCAGTCCTGGGTCTACAGCCTCAGTCCTGGGTCTACAGCCTCAGTCCTGGGTCTACAGTCTCAGTCCTGGGTCTACAGCCTCAGTCCTGGGTCTACAGCCTCAGTCCTGGGTCTACAGTCTCGGTCCTGGGTCTACAGCCTCGGTCCTGGATCTACAGCCTCGGTCCTGGGTCTACAGCCTCGGTACTGGGTCTACAGTCTCGGTACTGGGTCTACAGTCTCGGTCCTGGATCTACAGCCTCAGTGCTGGGTCTACAGCCTCAGTCCTGGGTCTATACAGTCTCAGTCCTGGGTCTACAGCCTCAGTCCTGGGTCTATACAGTCTCAGTCCTGGGTCTACAGCCTCAGTCCTGGGTCTACAGCCTCAGTCCTGGGTCTATACAGTCTCAGTCCTGGGTCTACAGCCTCGGTCCTGGGTCTACAGCCTCAGTCCTGGGTCTACAGCCTCAGTCCTGGGTCTACAGCCTCAGTCCTGGGTCTACAGCCTCAGTCCTGGGTCTACAGCCTCAGTCCTGGATCTACAGCCTCAGTCCTGGGTCTACAGCCTCAGTCCTGGGTCTACAGCCTCGGTCCTGGATCTTGCAGCCTCGGTCCTGGGTCTACAGCCTCGGTCCTGGGTCTACAGCCTCGGTACTGGATCTACAGCCTCAGTCCTGGATCTGCAGCCTCAGTCCTGGGTCTACAGCCTCAGTCCTGGATCTACAGCCTCAGTCCTGGGTCTACAGCCTCAGTCCTGGATCTACAGCCTCAGTCCTGGGTCTACAGCCTCAGTCCTGGGTCTACAGCCTCAGTCCTGGATCTACAGCCTCAGTCCTGGGTCTACAGCCTCAGTCCTGGGTCTACAGCCTCAGTCCTGGGTCTACAGCCTCAGTCCTGGGTCTACAGCCTCAGTCCTGGATCTACAGCCTCAGTCCTGGGTCTACAGCCTCAGTCCTGGGTCTACAGCCTCAGTCCTGGATCTACAGCCTCAGTCCTGGGTCTACAGCCTCAGTCCTGGATCTACAGCCTCAGTCCTGGATCTACAGCCTCAGTCCTGGGTCTACAGCCTCAGTCCTGGGTCTACAGCCTCAGTCCTGGGTCTACAGCCTCAGTCCTGGGTCTACAGCCTCAGTCCTGGGTCTACAGCCTCAGTCCTGGGTCTACAGCCTCAGTCCTGGGTCTACAGCCTCAGTCCTGGGTCTACAGCCTCAGTCCTGGGTCTACAGCCTCAGTCCTGGGTCTACAGCCTCAGTCCTGGATCTACAGCCTCAGTCCTGGGTCTACAGCCTCAGTCCTGGGTCTACAGCCTCAGTCCTGGGTCTACAGCCTCAGTCCTGGGTCTACAGCCTGTCTTCTCTCCGTGGGAGCGGATCTCTCTCTCATTATGGGTCTCTCTTAAGTTTCTCACTTTTTTACTACTGGGTTTATGAGTTGCAACTTGCAGATGCAGGACCTGAAGACCCGAGGAAATGGGTGAAGACTGGATTCAACTTGACTGACCTTTAAGGACCGGTTTGACACTGGTCCAGGACAGGGATGATCCAGGACACTTCCTATGGACCAATGTCTCTGTGTTTGAAAGGTAGAGGGTAAAAACTTCGGCGTCTCACATGAGTCTGGCGCAGAAGAACCACATAACTTAACTTAAATAAGGCTTTCGGGCATTCAAGCAGCAACATCCTGGAAATACAATCTTTTATGACACACATAGAAGTTTTCAGGTGATATTTCTGCAGGATTAAAACAAAATGATTTGAAACGACAGGATTCCTTGCGGCTCCAAAGCATGGTTCAAAGACAGCGTTTAGATCCGGTACGTTCTTTCCCACTGACTGGAAGCAAAAACATCCAGAATCTTCCTCTTGCAGATTGTCTTGTAAAGAATAACATCCAAAAAGCAGGTTCAAATTTGATAGTTTTTCTCGTCCACTTTTAGTTGAAGCTACAGCGACTTCAGTCTTTACACACGACTTTGTTTTCAATCCAACTCGTCGTGGGAGAAAGAAAAAAGTTCATTTGCAAAAACAGGTTAAAGCCATAAAAAAAAATATGATAAAGGATCACAATGTGCCTTTTACTCACGGGACGGACTTCAAGGGTCACTCCTTCAGCAAATTCTTTTAAAATAACTGACAAAAAACTAAACAAGATGGTGGCCAATGTTCAAAACTGAGAGAGACCAGAGACAGAGACCAGAGAGAGACCAGAGGGAGACCAGAGGGAGACCAGAGGGAGACCAGAGGACAGAGAGAGACCAGAGAGAGACCAGAAACAGAGACCAGAGAGAGACCAGAGGACAGAGAGAGAGACCAGAAACAGAGACCAGAGAGAGACCAGAGGACAGAGAGAGAGACCAGAGAGAGACCAGAGAGAGATCAGAAACAGAGACCAGAGAGAGACCAGAGAGAGACCAGAGGGAGACCAGAGGTAACTGTCTTGAGGTTCTGTTTTTGCAAATAAACTTTTTAATATAGTTCTGTGAAATCATGTCTCACTGATGATCTCTGAATCCTGGATCATTTTAGAGCTAAACTTAGAGCTGTGGTGCTGCAGGGAACACAGATCCTGTTCAGTGGAAATAAGAACGTAACGAGACTTAAAGGGCGGAGGAGAAGGCTCATATTATACGCAGTATAATGCTAAGGATTTATCATAGCAATTTGCTACAAACATGGTTAGAACTAATCTATCAAAGAAAAGGATTTTCTACAAAGGTTAAGGTGCAACTCTTAAGGATGAAACCAATTTGTATATTTCAAAATAAAATCCAGAACGGGGCCATGTGACTAAATGCTGTTCCATTATTTAAAGGTTCACAGATTTGGTTCAAAGGGAAGAGGAGAGAAGGTGTTTGCTGCAAAACCCAAATGTCCGCCTACAACAGAAACATGATTGCTTTATATCAGGAGGTCAGGGCCTCAGAGGAGGTCAGGGCCTCAGAGGAGATCAGGGCCTCAGAGGAGGTCAGGGCCTCAGAGGAGGTCAGGGCCTCAGAGGAGATCAGGGCCTCAGAGGAGGTCAGGGCCTCAGAGGAGGTCAGGGCCTCAGAGGAGATCAGGGCCTCAGAGGAGATCAGGGCCTCAGAGGAGGTCAGGGCCTCAGAGGGATGTCAGGGCCTCAGAGGAGATCAGGGCCTCAGAGGAGGTCAGGGCCTCAGAGGGATGTCAGGGCCTCAGAGGAGATCAGGGCCTCAGAGGAGGTCAGGGCCTCAGAGGAGATCAGGGCCTCAGAGGAGATCAGGGCCTCAGAGGAGATCAGGGCCTCAGAGGAGGTCAGGGCCTCAGAGGAGATCAGGGCCTCAGAGGAGATCAGGGCCTCAGAGGAGATCAGGGCCTCAGAGGAGATCAGGGCCTCAGAGGAGATCAGGGCCGCAGAGGGAGGTGTGGCTGCAGGGTTTCAGTCCAACCAAGCAGGAGAAGACCAGACTCCAGCCATTTCCTCAAGTTGAGTCCAGTCTTAACCTGGACCTGAGAGGGAGACCAGAGGGAGACCAGAGGGAGACCAGAGAGGCAAGGACAAGTTAACCGTCTTGTTCTCCTTGCTGTTATATAATGTTAATTTCTCATTTCTCAGGAAAAGGGGCGGAGCCTGCTGTGCTCCTGCTTGGTTGGAACGAAAACCTGCAGCCCCCGACTCCCTCTGGAACCGGCTCGTCGCCCCTGCTTCATATCGAGCACAAACACAAGAATGTGCGATTGTTGCGTGAGGGAACTCAGCAGAAGTCTGATCCGTCTTTGTATTTAACACCAGCTCCAATCCATCAGGAGGCCAAACGGGTCTTCACACCAACTGAGGATCATTTGTGGTGTGGAGGATCCCGCCGTCGTGCTCCTCGCGTCGGCTCGGGCTCTGGGTCTGGGGCTCGGTACGAAGGTCCTGGTCCTCCCTGACAGTGTGGGACAGGTCCAGTCCAGGCTCCTGTGTGGAGGCCTGGGTCGACGAGGCCTCTGTCGCCGAGCAGCTGCTGGTGTCTGTGGGAGGACTATGGATCACCCTGGAACACAGCAACCAGGAAAGTTTAGTTTAGAGTCAAGATTATTCAGCCTCTTGACCAGGACTCATTTGTGGTTCTTAATCTCAAAGGGACTTCCTGGTTTTTAAAAGGTTGAATAAATATACTTATATACAGCAGATCAGTTTTTGGCCTGGATTTGAACATTCCAGATTTGAATTCATGTTTAGTCCCGACTCTGGGCAACAGCAGGATCAGAGACCAGAGGGAGACCAGAGGGAGACCAGAGGGAGACCAGAGGGAGACCAGAGACAGACCAGAGAGAGACAAGAGAGAGACCAGAGAGAGACCAGAGGGAGACCAGAGACCAGAGGGAGACCAGAGAGAGACCAGAGTGAGACAAGAGAGAGACCAGAGAGAGACCAGAGGGAGACCAGAGAGAGACCAGAGGGAGACCAGAGAGAGACCAGAGTGAGACCAGAGAGAGACCAGAGTGAGACAAGAGAGAGACCAGAGAGAGACCAGAGACCAGAGAGAGACCAGAGAGAGACCAGAGACAGACCAGAGAGAGACAAGAGAGAGACCAGAGGGAGACCAGAGAGAGACCAGAGGGAGACCAGAGGGAGACCAGAGACCAGAGGGAGACCAGAGAGAGACCAGAGACCAGAGGGAGACCAGAGAGAGACCAGAGGGAGACCAGAGACAGACCAGAGAGAGACAAGAGAGAGACCAGAGGGAGACCAGAGGGAGACCAGAGACCAGAGGGAGACCAGAGAGAGACCAGAGGGAGACCAGAGAGAGACCAGAGTGAGACAAGAGAGAGACCAGAGAGAGACAAGAGAGAGACCAGAGGGAGACCAGAGAGAGACCAGAGGGAGACCAGAGAGAGACCAGAGTGAGACCAGAGAGAGACCAGAGTGAGACAAGAGAGAGACCAGAGTGAGACAAGAGAGAGACCAGAGAGAGACAAGAGAGAGACCAGAGGGAGACCAGAGGGAGACCAGAGAGAGACCAGAGTGAGACCAGAGGGAGACCAGAGAGAGACCAGAGAGAGACCAGAGGGAGACCAAAGAGAGACCAGAGAGAGACAAGAGAGAGACAAGAGAGAGACAAGAGAGAGACAAGAGAGAGACCAGAGGGAGACCAGAGAGAGACCAGAGGGAGACCAGAGAGAGACCAGAGAGAGACAAGAGAGAGACAAGAGAGAGACAAGAGAGAGACCAGAGGGAGACCAGAGAGAGACCAGAGGGAGACCAGAGGGAGACCAGAGAGAGACCAGAGGGAGACCAGAGAGAGACCAGAGGGAGACCAGAGAGAGACCAGAGTGAGACAAGAGAGAGACCAGAGAGAGACCAGAGAGAGACAAGAGAGAGACCAGAGGGAGACCAGAGAGAGACCAGAGGGAGACCAGAGAGAGACTAGAGGGAGACCAGAGAGAGACCAGAGAGAGACCAGAGAGAGACAAGAGAGAGACCAGAGGGAGACCAGAGAGAGACCAGAGGGAGACCAGAGAGAGACCAGAGAGAGACCAGAGGGAGACCAGAGAGAGACCAGAGGGAGACCAGAGAGAGACCAGAGAGAGACCAGAGAGAGACCAGAGAGAGACCAGAGGGAGACCAGAGAGAGACCAGAGGGAGACCAGAGGGAGACCAGAGGGAGACCAGAGAGAGACCAGAGGGAGGCCAGAGAGAGACCAGAGTGAGACCAGTGAGAGACCAGGGAGAGACCAGGGAGAGACCAGGGAGAGACCAGAGAGAGACCAGAGAGAGACCAGAGAGAGACCAGAGAGAGACCAGAGGGAGACCAGAGAGAGACCAGAGAGAGACAAGAGAGAGACCAGAGGGAGACCAGAGAGAGACCAGAGGGAGACCAGAGAGAGACCAGAGAGAGACCAGAGAGAGACAAGAGAGAGACCAGAGGGAGACCAGAGAGAGACCAGAGGGAGACCAGAGGGAGACCAGAGGGAGACCAGAGAGAGACCAGAGGGAGGCCAGAGAGAGACCAGAGTGAGACAAGAGAGAGACCAGAGAGAGACTAGAGGGAGACCAGAGAGAGACCAGAGAGAGACCAGAGAGAGACCAGAGAGAGAGCAGAGAGAGACCAGAGAGAGAGCAGAGTGAGAGCAGAGAGAGACCAGAGAGAGAGCAGAGTGAGAGCAGAGAGAGACCAGAGAGAGACCAGAGGGAGACCAGAGAGAGACCAGAGTGAGACAAGAGAGAGACCAGAGAGAGAGCAGAGGGAGACCAGAGAGAGACCAGAGAGAGACCAAAAGTAACCCTCTTGTTTTCCTAGCTGTTCTATGGCGTTCATGTCTCAGTGGAACAGACAACAGTGAGAGAGAATAAAACAATAATAACAGACTCTCTCACAGCAGAATGAGAGAACAGACTCTCTCACAGCAGAATGAGAGAACAGACTCTCTCACAGCAGAATGAGAGAACAGACTCTCTCACAGCAGAATGAGAGAACAGACTCTCTCACAGCAGAATGAGAGAACAGACTCTCTCACAGCAGAATGAGAGAACAGACTCTCTCACAGCAGAATGAGAGAACAGACTCTCTCACAGCAGAATGAGAGAACAGACTCTCTCACAGCAGAATGAAAGAACAGACTCTCTCACAGCAGAATGAGAGAACAGACTCTCTCACAGCAGAATGAGAGAACAGACTCTCTCACAGCAGAATGAGAGAACAGACTCTCTCACAGCAGAATGAGAGAACAGACTCTCTCACAGCAGAATGAGAGAACAGACTCTCTCACAGCAGAATGAGAGAACAGACTCTCTCACAGCAGAATGAAAGAACAGACTTTCTCACAGCAGAATGAAAGAACAGACTCTCTCACAGCAGAATGAAAGAACAGACTCTCTCACAGCAGAATGAGAGAACAGACTCTCTCACAGCAGAATGAGAGAACAGACTCTCTCACAGCAGACTGAGAGAACAGACTCTCTCACAGCAGAATGAGAACAGACTCTCTCACAGCAGAATGAAAGAACAGACTCTCTCACAGCAGAATGAAAGAACAGACTCTCTCACAGCAGAATGAAAGAACAGACTCTCTCACAGCAGAATGAAAGAACAGACTCTCTCACAGCAGAATGAAAGAACAGACTCTCTCACAGCAGAATGAGAGAACAGACTTTCTCACAGCAGAATGAAAGAACAGACTCTCTCACAGCAGAATGAGAGAACAGACTTTCTCACAGCAGAATGAAAGAACAGACTCTCTCACAGCAGAATGAGAGAACAGACTCTCTCACAGCAGAATGAGAGAACAGACTCTCTCACAGCAGAATGAGAAAATGGCGGGTGGGACTCACATGCCGTGGCGTTGAACGTGGCGCTCCCACTCAGAGCTGTTGGTGAAGCAGCGTCCACAGAACTCACACGGAAGACGTTTCCCCTCCTCGCCGTTCAGCCCGGTGCCGCCGCCGCTGCTGGTCGGAGAGGACCGGACCTCTGCAACAGAACAAAATGGTTCAAGACCCAGGATCAGGACCTATGGCCTCTACATGAGCCGGCTAGACTGGGTTTGAGAACTTTTAATGGATTTTATGTCATTTTATTGTGAAGCACTTTGGTCGCCTTGAGTGTTGTAAAAAATTTGATTGATTATTATTGATTAATAGCTTATATTCCGGTGTGGCCTATATATGGACAACAGTGATTTATTTTAAATGTAGGTGAGGCTTATATTCAGGTGCAGCCTCAATGTGGACAACAGTGATTTCTTTTTAAATGTAGGTGAGGCTTATATTCAGGTGAGGCTTATATTTGGACAATAGTGATTTATTTTCAAATGCAGGAGGTTAGGCTTATATTCAGGTGAGGCTTATATTTGGACAATAATGATTTATTTTCAAATGAAGGAGGTGAGGCTTATATTCAGGTGAGGCTTATATTTGGACAATAGTGATTTATTTTCAAATGCAGGAGGTGAGGCTTATATTCAGGTGCGTCTTATAGTCCGGAGTACGGTAAATGTACCTGGAACCCTGGAAATTTCTTCAGTTGTTTCCTTCGTGTCTTCGGATGGTTCTTGTCTTTCCTCCTCATGTGTGTTCAGTTCCATGGGCTCGTCCTGGTCTGTCTCTCTCACTTCCTCTCCGGCTTCAGTGTCCTCCATGACGTCGTCCTCAATGACAGGTCCCGCCTCCTCCTCCTCCTCCTCCTCGGCCTGCGTCTCCTCGTGCTCCTCTTCCTCCTCCTCTGCGCTGCTGCTGCTGGGATCTTTGACCATCTCCAGTCGGTCCAGGTTCACACGACCCATCAGCTCAAAGTTACGGATGACCTGAAGGAGACAGCAGCCGGAGAGGGTAAGGACCAGAGCGAGACCAGAGCAACACCAGAGAGAGACCAGCGCGAGACCATGGAGACACCATAGAGAGATGAGAGAGAGACCAGAGAGAGAGACCAGAGAGAGACCAGCGATGAGAGAGAGGGAGAGACTAGAAAGTTATACCAGAGCACCAAAGAGTGACGAGAGAGACCAGAGAGACCCCAGGGAGAGACGAACAAGAGAGACCAGAGAGAGAGGAGAGAGAGACCATAAACCCAGCGGTGGACTGACCTTGTGCTGCAGGCGGAGGTGCTCCTCCAGCTGGCTCTTGCGGCTGCTGTCGTAGTAGCAGAGCTGGCACTGGTACGGCTTCACCTCGGCCTGGTGCTTGTGGAGGTGGGTCTGCAGGGCCTGGTCGCTGGAGCAGGTGAAAGTGCACTTGTGGCAGCGGAACACCAGGCCCTGGAGGTGACGGGACAGTTTGGACCGGCTCACCTCCAACGGCGCCACACGCTCCTCTGTCCCAGGACACAGAAGGGAAGAAGTAATTTTTATTGATTTATTTATATAACAGACAAAGGTTTCCCAAAGCGCTTTGCAATGTCCAGAAATCAGATATTTTTCCGGAAGCAAGAAGCCGAACACACTGGCGCGTCAAAGCCAAAAACAACACCCTCCATTCAATCATCACGATGTACAGGAGGATTTTCTACTTCCTGGTGGATCATCAAGACTATTGGTCCTCCCAGCTGTCAATCATTCTGGGGATACGTGCTTGTCCAATAAGACCAGAGAGTTTTGTTCAAAAAGTGAAGAGGGCGGTTCTTTCCTAAAATTTGGGAAAATCCTCCTAAATATCTGTAATTTCTTTCATACCTATTGTACATGTTTTTAGTGGTAGAGGAAACCGGAGCACCCGGAGGAAATCAATGCAGGCACGGGGACAACTCCACTCAGAAAGGCCCTGTTCCGACCTGAGTGCTAACCACTCAGCCACCGTGCCAGAAGAGTAGATAATAAACTTGCCTTGCCTTAACAAACAAATGCCATACTATTATTATTATCATTACAGTAGATACATTTCGGCAAGTGCTTCTTTGGGTTTTCTCTGAACTTTTCTAGGGCTACTTAAAGCTGAGGTACCCACATTTCAAACATAAACACAAGAAACTATTCAATAAAATACATAAAAGTCTCAAAAAACAGTTTCTACCATATTACTGTCGCTTCTTTCAGCCAATCAGCTCTCAGCCCTAACAGTGACTCACTCTCACTTTCTTTCAGGTCAGCAAAAGAAACACAGTGTTTTCTGATAAGGGCAGTCCCAGCTCAGGATCAGAATGTGAAGGTGATTCAATCAGCAGGGTCAAACTGCTAAACGTGGAAATAAATGCTTTGTAGCCATTAGCTTGAATGCTAATCATGTCTAAAATGGCTCAATACTAATTCTACAAATCGGTGTGAATTAAACTATAAAAAATGACTCTGGACACTGGATCTTTAACTCGTCTGCTGCTGAAGCGGATCTCTCCCGCAATCTGGGTCTCCCTGAGGTTTCTCACTTTTCTCCCACTGGGTTTTTAGTTGTTCCTCTCTGATGCAGGAGGGTCTAAGGACAGTGGTGATCCAGGACTCTCCACATTCAACAACATTTATGAACATTGGTCTCTGCTCCTTAAGGATTTTCAGAGCGGAACAACTCCCTCTGAACTCTCTCTCTCTGGCCTCTCTCTCTGGCCTCTCTCTCTGGCCTCTCTCTCCCTGGTCTCTCTCCCTGGCCTCTCTCTCTCTCTGGCCTCTCTCCCTCTCTCTGGCCTCTCTCTCTCTCTGGCCTCTCTCTCTCTCTGGCCTCTCTCTCTGGCCTCTCTCTCTCTGGCCTCTATCTCTCTGGCCTCTCTCTCTCTGGCCTCTCTCTCTGGCCTCTCTCTCTCTCTCTCTCTGGCCTCTCTCTCTCTGGCCTCTCTCTCTGGCCTCTCTCTCTCTCTCTCTCTGGCCTCTCTCTCTCTCTCTCTGGCCTCTCTCTCTCTCTCTGGCCTCTCTTTCTCTGGCCTCTCTCTCTCTGGCCTCTCTCTCTCTGGCCTCTCTCTCTCTGGCCTCTCTCTCTCTGGCCTCTCTCTCTCTCTCTGGCCTCTCTCCCTCTCTCTGGCCTCTCTCCCTCTCTCTGGCCTCTCTCCCTCTCTCTGGCCTCTCTCCCTCTCTCTGGCCTCTCTCTCTCTCTGGCCTCTCTCTCCCTGGCCTCTCTCTCTGGCCTCTCTCTCTCTCTGGCCTCTCTCTCTCTCTGTGGCCTCTCTCTCTCTCTCTGGCCTCTCTCTCTGGCCTCTCTCTCTCTGGCCTCTCTCTCTCTGGCCTCTCTCTCTCTGGCCTCTCTCTCTCTCGCCTCTCTCTCTCTGGCCTCTCTCTCTCTCTCTGGCCTCTCTCTCTCTCTCTGGCCTCTCTCTCTCTCTCTGGCCTCTCTCTCTCTCTCTGGCCTCTCTCTCTCTCTCTCTGGCCTCTCTCTCTCTCTGGCCTCTCTCTCTCTCTGGCCTCTCTCTCTCTGGCCTCTCTCTCTCTGGCCTCTCTCTCTGGCCTCTCTCTCTCTCTCTCTGGCCTCTCTCTCTCTCTGGCCTCTCTCTCTCTCTCTCTCTGGCCTCTCTTTCTCTGGCCTCTCTCTCTCTGGCCTCTCTCTCTCTGGCCTCTCTCTCTCTGGCCTCTCTCTCTGGCCTCTCTCTCTCTGGCCTCTCTCTCTCTGGCCTCTCTCTCTCTGGCCTCTCTCTCTGGCCTCTCTCTCTGGCCTCTCTCTCTCTGGCCTCTCTCTCTCTGGCCTCTCTCTCCCTGGCCTCTCTCTCTCTGGCCTCTCTCTCCCTGGCCTCTCTCTCCCTGGCCTCTCTCTCTCTGGCCTCTCTCTCTCTGGCCTCTCTCTCTGGCCTCTCTCTCTGGCCTCTCTCTCTGGCCTCTCTCTCTGGCCTCTCTCTCCCTGGTCTCTCTCTCCCTGGTCTCTCTCTCCCTGGCCTCTCTCTCCCTGGCCTCTCTCTCCCTGGCCTCTCTCTCCCTGGCCTCTCTCTCCCTGGCCTCTCTCTCTCTGGCCTCTCTCTCTGGCCTCTCTCTCCCTGGCCTCTCTCTCCCTGGCCTCTCTCTCCCTGGCCTCTCTCTCCCTGGCCTCTCTCTCGCTGGCCTCTCTCTCGCTGGCCTCTCTCTCGCTGGCCTCTCTCTCGCTGGCCTCTCTCTCGCTGGCCTCTCTCTCGCTGGCCTCTCTCTCGCTGGCCTCTCTCTCGCTGGCCTCTCTCTCCCTGGCCTCTCTCTCTCTGGCCCCTCTCTCTCTGGCCCCTCTCTCTCTGGCCCCTCGCTCTCTGGCCCCTCTCTCTCTGGCCTCTCTCTCTGGCCTCTCTCTCTGGCCTCTCTCTCTGGCCTCTCTCTCTGGCCTCTCTCCCTGGCCTCTCTCTCCCTGGCCTCTCTCTCCCTGGCCTCTCTCTCCCTGGCCTCTCTCTCCCTGGCCTCTCTCTCCCTGGCCTCTCTCTCTGGCCTCTCTCTCTGGCCTCTCTCTCGCTGGCCTCTCTCTCGCTGGCCTCTCTCTGGCCTCTCTCTCTGGCCTCTCTCTCCCTGGCCTCTCTCTCCCTGGCCTCTCTCTCCCTGGCCTCTCTCTCCCTGGCCTCTCTCTCCCTGGCCTCTCTCTCCCTGGCCTCTCTCTCCCTGGCCTCTCTCTCTCTGGCCTCTCTCTCTCTGGCCCCTCTCTCTCTGGCCCCTCTCTCTCTGGCCCCTCTCTCTCTGGCCCCTCTCTCTCTGGCCCCTCTCTCTCTGGCCTCTCTCTCTGGCCTCTCTCTCTGGCCTCTCTCTCTGGCCTCTCTCTCTGGCCTCTCTCTCTGGCCTCTCTCTCTGGCCTCTCTCTCTGGCCTCTCTCTCCCTGGCCTCTCTCTCCCTGGCCTCTCTCTCTCTGGCCTCTCTCTCTCTGGCCCCTCTCTCTCTGGCCCCTCGCTCTCTGGCTCCTCTCTCTCTGGCCTCTCTCTCTGGCCTCTCTCTCTGGCCTCTCTCTCTGGCCTCTCTCTCTGGCCTCTCTCTCTGGCCTCTCTCCTGGCCTCTCTCTCCCTGGCCTCTCTCTCCCTGGCCTCTCTCTCCCTGGCCTCTCTCTCCCTGGCCTCTCTCTCCCTGGCCTCTCTCTCCCTGGCCTCTCTCTCTGGCCTCTCTCTCTGGCCTCTCTCTCGCTGGCCTCTCTCTCGCTGGCCTCTCTCTGGCCTCTCTCTCTGGCCTCTCTCTCGCTGGCCTCTCTCTGGCCTCTCTCTCTGGCCTCTCTCTCTCTGGCCTCTCTCTCCCTGGTCTCTCTCTCCCTGGCCTCTCTCTCCCTGGCCTCTCTCTCCCTGGCCTCTCTCTCCCTGGCCTCTCTCTCCCTGGCCTCTCTCTCCCTGGCCTCTCTCTCCCTGGCCTCTCTCTCCCTGGCCTCTCTCCCTGGCCTCTCTCTCCCTGGCCTCTCTCTCCCTGGCCTCTCTCTCCCTGGCCTCTCTCTCCCTGGCCTCTCTCTCCCTGGCCTCTCTCTCTCTGGCCTCTCTCTCTGGCCTCTCTCTCCCTGGCCTCTCTCTCCCTGGCCTCTCTCTCCCTGGCCTCTCTCTCCCTGGCCTCTCTCTCGCTGGCCTCTCTCTCGCTGGCCTCTCTCTCGCTGGCCTCTCTCTCGCTGGCCTCTCTCTCGCTGGCCTCTCTCTCGCTGGCCTCTCTCTCGCTGGCCTCTCTCTCCCTGGCCCTCTCTCTCTGGCCCCTCTCTCTCTGGCCCCTCGCTCTCTGGCCCCTCGCTCTCTGGCCCCTCTCTCTCTGGCCTCTCTCTCTGGCCTCTCTCTCTGGCCTCTCTCTCTGGCCTCTCTCTCTGGCCTCTCTCTCTGGCCTCTCTCTCTGGCCTCTCTCTCCCTGGCCTCTCTCTCCCTGGCCTCTCTCTCCCTGGCCTCTCTCTCCCTGGCCTCTCTCTCCCTGGCCTCTCTCTCCCTGGCCTCTCTCTCCCTGGCCTCTCTCTCCCTGGCCTCTCTCTCTGGCCTCTCTCTCTGGCCTCTCTCTCTGGCCTCTCTCTCCCTGGCCTCTCTCTCTCTGGCCCCCTCTCTCTCTGGCCCCTCTCTCTCTGGCCCCTCTCTCTCTGGCCCCTCTCTCTCTGGCCCCTCTCTCTCTGGCCTCTCTCTCTCTGGCCTCTCTCTCTCTGGCCCCTCTCTCTCTGGCCTCTCTCTCTGGCCTCTCTCTCTGGCCTCTCTCTCTGGCCTCTCTCTCTGGCCTCTCTCTCTCTCTCTGGCCTCTCTCTCTGGCCTCTCTCTCTGGCCTCTCTCTCTGGCCTCTCTCTCTGGCCTCTCTCCCTGGCCTCTCTCTCCCTGGCCTCTCTCTCTGGCCTCTCTCTCTGGCCTCTCTCTCTGGCCTCTCTCTCCCTGGCCTCTCTCTCTGGCCTCTCTCTCCCTGGCCTCTCTCTCTCTGGCCCCTCTCTCTCTGGCCCCTCTCTCTCTCTCTCTCTCTGGCCCCTCTCTCTCTGGCCCTCTCTCTCTGGCCCCTCTCTCTCTGGCCTCTCTCTCTCTGGCCTCTCTCTCTCTGGCCCCTCTCTCTCTGGCCTCTCTCTCTGGCCTCTCTCTCTGGCCTCTCTCTCTGGCCTCTCTCTCTGGCCTCTCTCTCTGGCCTCTCTCTCTGCCTCTCTCTCCCTGGCCTCTCTCTCCCTGGCCTCTCTCTCCCTGGCCTCTCTCTCCCTGGCCTCTCTCTCCCTGGCCTCTCTCTCCCTGGCCTCTCTCCCTGGCCTCTCTCTCCCTGGCCTCTCTCTCTGGCCTCTCTCTCTGGCCTCTCTCTCCCTGGCCTCTCTCTCCCTGGCCTCTCTCTCCCTGGCCTCTCTCTCGCTGGCCTCTCTCTCGCTGGCCTCTCTCTCGCTGGCCTCTCTCTCTGGCCTCTCTCTCCCTGGCCTCTCTCTCCCTGGCCTCTCTCTCCCTGGCCTCTCTCTCGCTGGCCTCTCTCTCGCTGGCCTCTCTCTCCCTGGCCTCTCTCTCCCTGGCCTCTCTCTCCCTGGCCTCTCTCTCCCTGGCCTCTCTCTCCCTGGCCTCTCTCTCCCTGGCCTCTCTCTCCCTGGCCTCTCTCTCCCTGGCCTCTCTCTCCCTGGCCTCTCTCTCCCTGGCCTCTCTCTCCCTGGCCTCTCTCTCCCTGGCCTCTCTCTCCCTGGCCTCTCTCTCCCTGGCCTCTCTCTCCCTGGCCTCTCTCTCCCCTGGCCTCTCTCTCGCTGGCCTCTCTCTCGCTGGCCTCTCTCTCGCTGGCCTCTCTCTCGCTGGCCTCTCTCTCTGGCCTCTCTCTCTGGCCTCTCTCTCCCTGGCCTCTCTCTCCCTGGCCTCTCTCTCTCTGGCCCCTCTCTCTCTGGCCTCTCTCTCTGGCCTCTCTCCCTGGCCTCTCTCTCTCTGGCCTCTCTCTCCCTGGCCTCTCTCTCCCTGGCCTCTCTCTCCCTGGCCTCTCTCTCCCTGGCCTCTCTCTCCCTGGCCTCTCTCTCCCTGGCCTCTCTCTCCCTGGCCTCTCTCTCCCTGGCCTCTCTCTCCCTGGCCTCTCTCTCCCTGGCCTCTCTCTCCCTGGCCTCTCTCTCCCTGGCCTCTCTCTCCCTGGCCTCTCTCTCCCTGGCCTCTCTCTCCCTGGCCTCTCTCTCCCTGGCCTCTCTCTCCCTGGCCTCTCTCTCGCTGGCCTCTCTCTCGCTGGCCTCTCTCTCGCTGGCCTCTCTCTCGCTGGCCTCTCTCTCTGGCCTCTCTCTCTGGCCTCTCTCTCCCTGGCCTCTCTCTCCCTGGCCTCTCTCTCCCTGGCCTCTCTCTCTCTGGCCCCTCTCTCTCTGGCCTCTCTCTCTGGCCTCTCTCTCTGGCCTCTCTCTCCCTGGCCTCTCTCTCTCTGGCCTCTCTCTCCCTGGCCTCTCTCTCTCTGGCCTCTCTCTCTCTGGCCTCTCTCTCTGGCCTCTCTCTCTCTGGCCTCTCTCTCTGGCCTCTCTCTCTGGCCTCTCTCTCTGGCCTCTCTCTCTGGCCTCTCTCTCTGGCCTCTCTCCCTGGCCTCTCTCTCGCTGGCCTCTCTCTCTGGCCTCTCTCTCTGGCCTCTCTCTCCCTGGCCTCTCTCTCCCTGGCCTCTCTCTCCCTGGCCTCTCTCTCCCTGGCCTCTCTCTCGCTGGCCTCTCTCTCGCTGGCCTCTCTCTCCCTGGCCTCTCTCTCCCTGGCCTCTCTCTCCCTGGCCTCTCTCTCCCTGGCCTCTCTCTCCCTGGCCTCTCTCTACCTGGCCTCTCTCTCCCTGGCCTCTCTCTCCCTGGCCTCTCTCTCCCTGGCCTCTCTCTCCCTGGCCTCTCTCTCCCTGGCCTCTCTCTCCCTGGCCTCTCTCTCCCTGGCCTCTCTCTCCTTGGCCTCTCTCTCGCTGGCCTCTCTCTCGCTGGCCTCTCTCTCGCTGGCCTCTCTCTCGCTGGCCTCTCTCTCGCTGGCCTCTCTCTCTGGCCTCTCTCTCCCTGGCCTCTCTCTCCCTGGCCTCTCTCTCCCTGGCCTCTCTCTCCCTGGCCTCTCTCTCTCTGGCCTCTCTCTCCCTGGCCTCTCTCTCTCTGGCCTCTCTCTCTCTGGCCTCTCTCTCTGGCCTCTCTCTCTGGCCTCTCTCTCTGGCCTCTCTCTCTGGCCTCTCTCTCTGGCCTCTCTCCCTGGCCTCTCTCTCTCTGGTCTCTCTCTCTCTGGCCTCTCTCTCCCTGGCCTCTCTCTCCCTGGCCTCTCTCCCTGGCCTCTCTCTCCCTGGCCTCTCTCTCCCTGGCCTCTCTCTCCCTGGCCTCTCTCTCTGGCCTCTCTCTCTCTGGCCTCTCTCTCTGGCCTCTCTCTCTGGCCTCTCTCTCTGGCCTCTCTCTCTGGCCTCTCTCTCTGGCCTCTCTCCCTGGCCTCTCTCTCTCTGGCCTCTCTCTCTGGCCTCTCTCTCTGGCCTCTCTCTCTGGCCTCTCTCTCTGGCCTCTCTCTCTGGCCTCTCTCCCTGGCCTCTCTCTCTGGTCTCTCTCTCTCTGGCCTCTCTCTCCCTGGCCTCTCTCTCCCTGGCCTCTCTCTCCCTGGCCTCTCTCTCCCTGGCCTCTCTCTCTGGCCTCTCTCTCCCTGGCCTCTCTCTCCCTGGCCTCTCTCTCCCTGGCCTCTCTCTCCCTGGCCTCTCTCTCTGTATGGACCATTATCTCTGTTTTTATCAATGCATTTCCTGTGTTTGCTTCTGTGTGGGTGAATTGACAGCGTGGTAAAGTCTGTAGTTGCTTAAAGCCAGATACTAAACCGCGCCGTGGCCTTGTACCTCGGTGGAGGACGATGTGGTCGATCATGTTGCTCTTGCTCTTGGTGTGGTACAGACACAGGGGGCAGCGCAGGTCTTTCAGGGGCTCCTCGGGAACGCTGAGGCTGCTGCTGCTGCTGCTGTGACCGGCCTCTGCGTGTTTCGCCAGAGTCTCCCTGACAATCACACATGGTACATTAGATTTACCAGCAATCCATAACTACAGAGTGCAGATGGTAGAGGAGGGAACGTTTCTGGGTTTAACTTGTGCTGAGAGAGACCAGAGAGAGAGAGAGACCAGAGAGGCCAGAGAGAGAGCAGAGAGAGAGAGAGACCAGAGAGTGTGGCCAGGGAGATGGACGAGAGAGAGACCAGAGAAAGACAAGAGAGAGACAAGAGAGAGAGAGAGAGAGACAGAGACAGAGACAGAAAGAGAGAGAGACCAAAGAGAGAGAGAGAGAGAGACAGAGAGAGACAGAGAGAGAGACAGAGAGAGAGAGAGACCAAAGAGAGAGAAAAAAGAGAGACCAGAGCGACTAGAGAGAAAGACCAGCGAGAGACAGAGAGAGAGAGAGAGAGAGACAGAGAGAGAGACAGAGAGAGAGAGAGAGAGAGACAGAGAGAGAGAGAGAGAGAGAGACAGAGAGAGAGACAGAGAGAGAGACAGAGAGAGAGAGAGACCAAAGCGACTAAAGAGAAAGAACCGGGAAGAGAGAGCCCAGAGAGAGCCCAGTCCTGTGGTTTCTCACTTGCTGCAGGTGAAGAAGTGACAGTCTTTGCACTTGAAAAGCTTCTGTCCGCCGTGGCGGTCCCTGTAGTGGCGCCTGACGCTCTGGATGTAGCCGGAGCTGAACTCGCAGTACTCGCAGGTGTAGACCCCCTCTGGACGATGGTCACTCACCGCAGAGGCCCCCCCCGTCCCCGAGGACCCGCACATCTGAGAGCGAGAGGCCAACTGGTACTGACTCAGCTGCTGCCGGACGTCCACTGGCTCCAGGTACGAGGGATCTGAGGGGGAGGAGAGATAGCATAGCATGTTAGCATTAGCTTCATTATTGTGCCTCGGAAAACCACATTCCACAGTGAACATGGGATGGGAAATGAAGGGATGGAAGCGTCAAAAAGAGCTTGGTTGAAGTCACTTATGGCCTCAGCACATGGAGTATCACCTCCATGCTAATCCCAGAGCAGCTAGCTGTTAGCATGGACGTTAGCCTGAGTACAAAGACACACACCCAAAGATCCTGCAAATTGTGTTATATTTCTAAACAGGCTATTGCTAGGAAAAAGTTGCACTGGTCTGTTGGACTTGGTTGGACAAAAATAAAACGAATTTTCATTATTCCAAGTATCTAAAAGTCCATGTGAAAAAAATACTTCTCACTGTATTAGTTATAGTTATATTATATGTATTCATTTTGATCAAATAATTACAAAGCCAGTAATACATTTTATTTTTATTATTGACTCCCAGCCGTAGTATGGATGTGTTTCTGCTGCTGGACGAAGGAATTTCTCCTTTGTGAGATCAATAAAGTGGATAGATAATTGTATATAGATCGACATACAATTATATATCCATCTATCTCCTGTGTCTATCTATCTCAGTAACGAGGTGAGTAATCTCTCATCCGCAGATTCTAAAATGAACGCCGTCTCTGCTGAAAATGTTGACTACTTTTAAACAAATGCCAAAGCCGTCATACCATCAGCCAGAGAGAGAGGGCCCTGGTCCGAGTGAGAGCTGAGGCGTGGCTTCATGGACAGGTGTGCTGCCTGGGTCGCGGCCCGCAGCTTGGGAAGCGTCAGCGTCTCCCCGTGGTCCCTCTGCGAGTGCTCCTTCAGCTGACTGATGGTGGTGGAGGAGAACGCACACGACAGACACTTGTACATGTGCGTCTCACCTGGACACACAACCACAGTTGTGAGACAGAGGTGGGAGACAGAGGTGAGAGACAGAGGTGAGAGACAGAGGTGGGAGACAGAGGTGGGAGACAGAGGTGAGAGACAGAGGTGGGAGACAGAGGTGGGAGACAGAGGTGAGAGACAGAGGTGAGAGACAGAGGTGGGAGACAGAGGTGAGAGACAGAGGTGTGAGACAGAGGTGGGAGACAGAGGTGAGAGACAGAGGTGAGAGACAGAGGTGGGAGACAGAGGTGAGAGACAGAGGTGGGAGACAGAGGTGGGAGACAGAGGTGGGAGACAGAGGTGGGAGACAGAGGTGAGAGACAGAGGTGGGAGACAGAGGTGGGAGACAGAGGTGAGAGACAGAGGTGGGAGACAGAGGTGAGAGACAGAGGTGAGAGACAGAGGTGGGAGACAGAGGTGGGAGACAGAGGTGAGAGACAGAGGTGGGAGACAGAGGTGGGAGACAGAGGTGAGAGACAGAGGTGGGAGACAGAGGTGAGAGACAGAGGTGGGAGACAGGTGAGAGACAGAGGTGGGAGACAGAGGTGGGAGACAGAGGTGAGAGACAGAGGTGAGAGACAGAGGTGGGAGACAGAGGTGGGAGACAGAGGTGGGAGACAGAGGTGAGAGACAGAGGTGGGAGACAGATGTGAGAGACAGAGGTGAGAGACAGAGGTGGGAGACAGAGGTGGGAGACAGAGGTGGGAGACAGAGGTGAGAGACAGAGGTGAGAGACAGAGGTGGGAGACAGAGGTGGGAGACAGATGTGGGAGACAGAGGTGGGAGACAGATGTGGGAGACAGAGGTGGGAGACAGAGGTGAGAGACAGAGGTGAGAGACAGAGGTGGGAGACAGAGGTGGGAGACAGAGGTGAGAGACAGAGGTGAGAGACAGAGGTGGGAGACAGGTGAGAGACAGAGGTGAGAGACAGAGGTGGGAGACAGAGGTGAGAGACAGAGGTGAGAGACAGAGGTGGGAGACAGAGGTGAGAGACAGAGGTGAGAGACAGAGGTGAGAGACAGAGGTGGGAGACAGAGGTGGGAGACAGAGGTGAGAGACAGAGGTGGGAGACAGAGGTGAGACAGAGGTGAGAGACAGAGGTGGGAGACAGAGGTGGTAGACAGAGGTGAGAGACAGAGGTGAGAGACAGAGGTGGGAGACAGAGGTGGGAGACAGAGGTGAGAGACAGAGGTGGGAGACAGAGGTGAGAGACAGAGGTGGGAGACAGAGGTGGGAACAGAGGTGGGAGACAGAGGTGAGAGACAGAGGTGGGAGAGAGGTGGGAGACAGAGGTGAGAGACAGAGGTGAGAGACAGAGGTGGGAGACAGAGGTGAGAGACAGAGGTGAGAGACAGAGGTGGGAGACAGAGGTGGGAGACAGATGTGGGAGACAGAGGTGGGAGACAGATGTGGGAGACAGAGGTGGGAGACAGAGGTGAGAGACAGAGGTGGGAGACAGAGGTGAGAGACAGAGGTGGGAGACAGAGGTGAGAGACAGAGGTGGGAGACAGAGGTGGGAGACAGAGGTGAGAGACAGAGGTGGGAGACAGAGGTGAGAGACAGGTGAGAGACAGATGTGAGAGACAGATGTGAGAGACAGGTGAGAGACAGATGTGAGAGACAGAAGTGGGAGACAGAGGTGAGAGACAGAGGTGGGAGACAGAGGTGGGAGACAGAGGTGAGAGACAGAGGTGGGAGACAGAGGTGGGAGACAGAGGTGAGAGACAGAGGTGGGAGACAGAGGTGAGAGACAGAGGTGGGAGACAGAGGTGAGAGACAGAGGTGGGAGACAGAGGTGAGAGACAGAGGTGGGAGACAGAGGTGAGAGACAGAGGTGGGAGACAGAGGTGGGAGACAGATGTGGGAGACAGAGGTGGGAGACAGAGGTGAGAGACAGAGGTGGGAGACAGAGGTGAGAGACAGAGGTGAGAGACAGAGGTGGGAGACAGAGGTGGGAGACAGAGGTGAGAGACAGAGGTGAGAGACAGAGGTGGGAGACAGAGGTGGGAGACAGAGGTGGGAGACAGAGGTGAGAGACAGAGGTGGGAGACAGAGGTGGGAGACAGAGGTGAGAGACAGAGGTGAGAGACAGAGGTGGGAGACAGAGGTGAAAGACAGAGGTGAGAGACAGAGGTGGGAGACAGAGGTGGGAGACAGAGGTGGGAGACAGAGGTGGGAGACAGAGGTGGGAGACAGAGGTGGGAGACAGAGGTGGGAGACAGAGGTGTGAGACAGAGGTGGGAGACAGAGGTGAGAGACAGAGGTGAGAGACAGAGGTGAGAGACAGAGGTGGGAGACAGAGGTGAGAGACAGAGGTGGGAGACAGAGGTGAGAGACAGAGGTGAGAGACAGAGGTGGGAGACAGAGGTGGGAGACAGAGGTGAGAGACAGAGGTGGGAGACAGAGGTGAGAGACAGAGGTGGGAGACAGAGGTGGGAGACAGAGGTGGGAGACAGAGGTGAGAGACAGAGGTGGGAGACAGAGGTGGGAGACAGAGGTGGGAGACAGAGGTGAGAGACAGAGGTGGGAGACAGAGGTGGGAGACAGAGGTGAGAGACAGAGGTGAGAGACAGAGGTGAGAGACAGAGGTGGGAGACAGAGGTGAGAGACAGAGGTGAGAGACAGAGGTGAGAGACAGAGGTGGGAGACAGAGGTGGGAGACAGATGTGGGAGACAGAGGTGGGAGACAGATGTGGGAGACAGAGGTGGGAGACAGAGGTGAGAGACAGAGGTGGGAGACAGAGGTGAGAGACAGAGGTGGGAGACAGAGGTGAGAGACAGAGGTGGGAGACAGAGGTGGGAGACAGAGGTGAGAGACAGAGGTGGGAGACAGAGGTGAGAGACAGGTGAGAGACAGATGTGAGAGACAGATGTGAGAGACAGGTGAGAGACAGATGTGAGAGACAGAAGTGGGAGACAGAGGTGAGAGACAGAGGTGGGAGACAGAGGTGGGAGACAGAGGTGAGAGACAGAGGTGGGAGACAGAGGTGGGAGACAGAGGTGAGAGACAGAGGTGGGAGACAGAGGTGAGAGACAGAGGTGGGAGACAGAGGTGAGAGACAGAGGTGGGAGACAGAGGTGAGAGACAGAGGTGGGAGACAGAGGTGAGAGACAGAGGTGGGAGACAGAGGTGGGAGACAGATGTGGGAGACAGAGGTGGGAGACAGAGGTGAGAGACAGAGGTGGGAGACAGAGGTGAGAGACAGAGGTGAGCGACAGAGGTGGGAGACAGAGGTGGGAGACAGAGGTGAGAGACAGAGGTGAGAGACAGAGGTGGGAGACAGAGGTGGGAGACAGAGGTGGGAGACAGAGGTGAGAGACAGAGGTGGGAGACAGAGGTGGGAGACAGAGGTGAGAGACAGAGGTGAGAGACAGAGGTGGGAGACAGAGGTGAAAGACAGAGGTGAGAGACAGAGGTGGGAGACAGAGGTGGGAGACAGAGGTGGGAGACAGAGGTGGGAGACAGAGGTGGGAGACAGAGGTGGGAGACAGAGGTGGGAGACAGAGGTGTGAGACAGAGGTGGGAGACAGAGGTGAGAGACAGAGGTGAGAGACAGAGGTGAGAGACAGAGGTGGGAGACAGAGGTGAGAGACAGAGGTGGGAGACAGAGGTGAGAGACAGAGGTGAGAGACAGAGGTGGGAGACAGAGGTGGGAGACAGAGGTGAGAGACAGAGGTGGGAGACAGAGGTGAGAGACAGAGGTGGGAGACAGAGGTGGGAGACAGAGGTGGGAGACAGAGGTGAGAGACAGAGGTGGGAGACAGAGGTGGGAGACAGAGGTGGGAGACAGAGGTGAGAGACAGAGGTGGGAGACAGAGGTGGGAGACAGAGGTGAGAGACAGAGGTGAGAGACAGAGGTGAGAGACAGAGGTGGGAGAGACAGAGGTGAGAGACAGAGGTGGGAGACAGAGGTGAGAGACAGAGGTGGGAGACAGAGGTGAGAGACAGAGGTGGGAGACAGAGGTGGGAGACAGAGGTGGGAGACAGAGGTGGGAGACAGAGGTGAGAGACAGAGGTGGGAGACAGAGGTGAGAGACAGAGGTGGGAGACAGAGGTGAGAGACAGAGGTGGGAGACAGAGGTGGGAGACAGAGGTGAGAGACAGAGGTGGGAGACAGAGGTGAGAGACAGAGGTGGGAGACAGAGGTGAGAGACAGAGGTGGGAGACAGAGGTGAGAGACAGGTGAGAGACAGATGTGAGAGACAGATGTGAGAGACAGGTGAGAGACAGATGTGAGAGACAGAAGTGGGAGACAGAGGTGGAGACAGAGGTGGGAGACAGAGGTGGGAGACAGAGGTGAGAGACAGAGGTGGGAGACAGAGGTGGGAGACAGAGGTGAGAGACAGAGGTGGGAGACAGAGGTGAGAGACAGAGGTGGGAGACAGAGGTGAGAGACAGAGGTGGGAGACAGAGGTGAGAGACAGAGGTGGGAGACAGAGGTGAGAGACAGAGGTGGGAGACAGAGGTGGGAGACAGATGTGGGAGACAGAGGTGGGAGACAGAGGTGAGAGACAGAGGTGGGAGACAGAGGTGAGAGACAGAGGTGAGAGACAGAGGTGGGAGACAGAGGTGGGAGACAGAGGTGAGAGACAGAGGTGAGAGACAGAGGTGGGAGACAGAGGTGGGAGACAGAGGTGGGAGACAGAGGTGGGAGACAGAGGTGAGAGACAGAGGTGAGAGACAGAGGTGGGAGACAGAGGTGGGAGACAGAGGTGAGAGACAGAGGTGGGAGACAGAGGTGGGAGACAGAGGTGGGAGACAGAGGTGAGAGACAGAGGTGGGAGACAGAGGTGAAAGACAGAGGTGGGAGACAGAGGTGGGAGACAGAGGTGGGAGACAGAGGTGGGAGACAGAGGTGGGAGACAGAGGTGGGAGACAGAGGTGGGAGACAGAGGTGAGAGACAGAGGTGAGAGACAGAGGTGGGAGACAGAGGTGGGAGACAGAGGTGAGAGACAGAGGTGGGAGACAGAGGTGGGAGACAGAGGTGGGAGACAGAGGTGGGAGACAGAGGTGGGAGACAGAGGTGGGAGACAGAGGTGGGAGACAGAGGTGAGAGACAGAGGTGAGAGACAGAGGTGGGAGACAGAGGTGGGAGACAGAGGTGAGAGACAGAGGTGGGAGACAGAGGTGGGAGACAGAGGTGAGAGACAGAGGTGAGAGACAGAGGTGGGAGACAGAGGTGAAAGACAGAGGTGAGAGACAGAGGTGGGAGACAGAGGTGGGAGACAGAGGTGAGAGACAGAGGTGAGAGACAGAGGTGGGAGACAGAGGTGAGAGACAGAGGTGAGAGACAGAGGTGGGAGACAGAGGTGAGAGACAGAGGTGAGAGACAGAGGTGGGAGACAGAGGTGGGAGACAGAGGTGAGAGACAGAGGTGGGAGACAGAGGTGAGAGACAGAGGTGGGAGACAGAGGTGTGAGACAGAGGTGGGAGACAGAGGTGAGAGACAGAGGTGGGAGACAGAGGTGGGAGACAGAGGTGGGAGACAGAGGTGAGAGACAGAGGTGGGAGACAGAGGTGAGAGACAGAGGTGAGAGACAGAGGTGAGAGACAGAGGTGGGAGACAGAGGTGGGAGACAGAGGTGAGAGACAGAGGTGAGAGACAGAGGTGAGAGACAGAGGTGGGAGACAGAGGTGAGAGACAGAGGTGGGAGACAGAGGTGGGAGACAGGGTGGGAGACAGAGGTGAGAGACAGAGGTGAGAGACAGAGGTGAGAGACAGAGGTGGGAGACAGAGGTGGGAGACAGAGGTGAGAGACAGAGGTGGGAGACAGAGGTGGGAGACAGAGGTGGGAGACAGAGGTGGGAGACAGAGGTGGGAGACAGAGGTGGGAGACAGAGGTGGGAGACAGAGGTGGGAGACAGAGCTGGGAGACAGAGGTGGGAGACAGAGGTGGGAGACAGAGCTGGGAGACAGAGGTGGGAGACAGATGGGGGAGACAGAGGTGGGAGACAGATGGGGGAGACAAAGGTGAGAGACAGAGGTAGGAGACAGAGCTGGGAGACAGAGGTGGGAGACAGAGGTGGGAGACAGAGGTGAGAGACAGAGGTGAGAGACAGAGGTGAGAGACAGAGGTGAGAGACAGAGGTGAGAGACAGAGGTGGGAGACAGAGGTGAGAGACAGAGGTGAGAGACAGAGGTGGGAGACAGAGGTGGGAGACAGAGGTGGGAGACAGAGGTGGGAGACAGAGGTGGGAGACAGAGGTGGGAGACAGAGGTGGGAGACAGAGCTGGGAGACAGAGGTGGGAGACAGAGGTGGGAGACAGAGCTGGGAGACAGAGGTGGGAGACAGATGGGGGAGACAGAGGTGGGAGACAGATGGGGGAGACAAAGGTGAGAGACAGAGGTAGGAGACAGAGCTGGGAGACAGAGGTGGGAGACAGAGGTGGGAGACAGAGGTGAGAGACAGAGGTGAGAGACAGAGGTGGGAGACAGAGGTGAGAGACAGAGGTGGGAGACAGAGGTGAGAGACAGAGGTGAGAGACAGAGGTGGGAGACAGAGCTGGGAGACAGAGCTGGGAGACAGAGGTGGGAGACAGAGGTGAGAGACAGAGGTGGGAGACAGATGGGGGAGACAGAGCTGGGAGACAGAGGTGGGAGACAGAGGTGGGAGACAGAGGTGGGAGACAGATGGGGGAGACAGAGGTGGGAGACAGATGGGGGAGACAAAGGTGGGAGACAGATGGGGGAGACAAAGGTGGGAGACAGATGGGGGAGACAGATGGGGGAGACAAAGGTGGGAGACAGATGGGGGAGGCAGATGGGGGAGACAGAGGTGGGAGACAGATGGGGGAGGCAGATGGGGGAGACAGATGGGGGAGACATATGCTTACCTGTATGGGCCTTGTGCATGTGGCTCTTCAGGCGGTTCATGTAGGCGGATTTAAAGGGACAGAGCTTGCACTTGAAGGGTTTGTGGTGACCGTGATGAGACTGTATGTGTCTGTCCAGGCTGAGGAAGAGGAGGAGGAGGAGGAAGAGGAGGAGGAGACAAGAGCAGAAGAAAACAACTGTAAATGGCGACAAAAGACTGGCGGCTAACTTGCATAAAAGCAGGTTGGAGCATAACTAGTGTTTCCACTTAGATCAGAGGTCGGGAACCCTTTAGCGAGAGAGAACCAACTAACTTTAAAATGTATTTCTGTGGGAGACATTTTTTATATACTGTGAATATGTGTGATTTTAATTTGGAGCATTTGGAGTGTATTATCAGTCTCAGATTATTTACTGACATTTGTAAACTGAATAAATCCAACACACATTCTCACACTGCTATAGTCACTTTTCATTTTATTGTTCATGGTATATCTGTCACAAAAGAGACCATATTTGGACCGTTTTCACACCATGAGTGACTCTGTCTATGCCAAATGTGACATGTACATTTCTCCATTGTGAGATCTATAAAGTTTATCTTATTTTCTTACTTATTAAAGCCGACTAAGATCTCTATAAGAGCCAGACACAGTCATAAAAAGCACATTTTAGTTTCCTATGACGACTATAGGAACTAGGAACCATGGGGGGAACTCCTCCAAGCACAAGCCACTGGTGTGAGTGACTATGTGGACAGTGGCACCATGTGTATATACCCAGCCTGGTGGGTGGTACGGCCTCAGTCTGAGCTCTGCAGAGATTACAGACTGTATGTTTAGGATAAATACGGCTGATTACAACAGTTGTGATTCTCATCTGTTGCGCCCAGTTTTAACACTAGGACTCCCAGAGCAGTCCTTTTGACTGTTCTCATTCAAACCAATGGAAAAGAAACAATGCTAATCAATATTTACAGAAGAGTCGTACAGCTAACGAATACAAGACAGTGGGGAAGGGGAGATTCTTATTCTAATCTGGTTTAATGCAGTGTGTGTGTGTGTGCGTGCGTGCGTGCGTGCGTGCGTGTGTGTGTGGCCCAGACTCACTTGTGCCTGAACGGCGAGGCGAACTGACAGTACTGACAGCTGTACTTGTCCTCTTTGCTGAACATGGCCATAGCCGTGTGGCTCCTCTCGTGCGAGCGAAGACCCTGCATCGACATGAAGACCCGGTCGCACTGCGCACAGGGGTGACCTACGCCGTCCGAGTGCCGCTGCTGCTTCACCATCGTCCCGGACGCCATGGCCCGAGCGGCAGCCACCAGCGCCGCCGCCTTGCCCCCCGGCACAGCTGTCACCACCGCCGCCGCCTGCAGCTCCTCCGGCTCGGTCAGGTCTGGGTCGGGACTCGTCAGGTCCAGACCCTGAAGACCGTTGGATCCCAGGACCTCCACATCGCCGTTGGTGAGGGTCTCTGAGGCCGGGGTCAGCGGGACTTCACTCGCCTCCTGCTGCAGAGAGAGAAAAGTGTGTTATTATCAAAGAATCCAAGAACATTCACCGACTTTTGTGAATTATTATCAAGATTTATGGACGTTGGTCTCCGTCTCTTTTGGACCGATGACTTTGTTATTGATGCATTTCCTGCGTTTGAACGGTTTGATTCTGTGCAATATGAAACCACTGTCGCTTTGTCCCAGACCCTCAAGCTGCGAACATGTTTCAGACGTTTACATGCAACGAGATTCAAGATTTATCGTTATTGTCACAAAAACAACAAATTTACACTTTGAGCGCCATTATGCTAAAGTTAGAGATTCTCTTCTATTTTAGTAGAGTTATTGTTCGCTTCTTTATAATAAGTAATAATAATAATGAATAAAAAACTGTGCAAACACATATATATAAGATAAAAATGAAAACATAAATTATTCAAAAATGAGTAATGTGCACAACTAAATGTTTAACCTGGACATAAACATTGCCATCTCCTCAGAGTCCCAGCAGGAGGCCAGTCCCTGTGCTCCTCAAAGTCCCAGCAGGAGGCCAGTCCCTGTGCTCCTCAGAGTCCCAGCAGGAGTCCAGTCCCTGTGCTCCTCAGAGTCCCAGCAGGAGACCAGTCCTTGTGCTCCTCAGAGTCCCAGCAGGAAGCCAGTCCCTGTGCTCCTCAGAGTCCCAGCAGGAGGCCAGTCCCTGTGTTCCTCAGAGTCCCAGCAGGAGGCCAGTCCCTGTGCTCCTCAGAGTCCCAGCAGGAGGCCAGTCCCTGTGCTCCTCAGAGTCCCAGCAGGAGGCCAGTCCCTGTGCTCCTCAGAGTCCCAGCAGGAGGCCAGTCCCTGTGTTCCTCAGAGTCCCAGCAGGAGGCCAGTCCCTGTGCTCCTCAGAGTCCCAGCAGGAGGCCAGTCCCTGTGCTCCTCAGAGTCCCAGCAGGAGGCCAGTCCCTGTGCTCCTCAGAGTCCCAGCAGGAGTCCAGTCCCTGTGCTCCTCAGAGTCCCAGCAGGAGGCCAGTCCCTGTGCTCCTCAGAGTCCCAGCAGGAGGCCAGTCCCTGTGCTCCTCAGAGTCCCAGCAGGAGGCCAGTCCCTGTGCTCCTCAGAGTCCCAGCAGGAGGCCAGTCCCTGTGCTCCTCAGAGTCCCAGCAGGAGGCCAGTCCCTGTGCTCCTCAGAGTCCCAGCAGGAGGCCAGTCCCTGTGCTCCTCATATGGCACTATCATGTCACAGATGGACTTTGAAGCCAGTGCAGAGACCTGAGACCTGGACTAATGTGATGGTACTTCCTGGTTCTCATCAGGACTCCTGCTCTAGCGCTCTGAATATACTGCATCTATCATTAATTCTATTTTCTAATATTAAAATGAGACAAGGAAACCGGACACGCGTCTAAATGGTAGTTGCATACATCTGTCAGTGAGGCTGCGGTGGGCACATCACCTCCAGGACTTTTTATTTCCTGAAGGTAATAGGTTTGTGGAAGGACCTGACCCTGCACTTCATGGAGACATAAATAAGGATCCTGGTCCGCCGGCCCCACCTCGCCGCTCTGTCTGCTCTTACTGCACTGTCAGCCCGGCATCAGCACTGCCCAGAAACTACAACTGGGAGAAACTACGACTGCCAGGCCGAGAATCTGTCCACGGAGCTGCACACACGCACTGGGAACAAAAACTGATCTGTTCCCAAAGAAGATAAGTTATTGATAAAAACACACACTATATGTTCTTTCAAATTAGGGATCTACTTTTTGTCACGCCACCGCCACTTTTCAACCACTTTCACAGAAAAAAATGAGGATAGACATTTGTGAAGTGAAAGCAGAGGTGAACATTATTGCATGTATTTCTTCCCCATTCTTCTTTGCATAACAGCTAAAGCTCATATCTGTTTTTTGATAGGCTTGAACAGGATGGGTCACACATTGAATTTATTTGTTTTAAATCATTTGACTGTATACTAGTTTGTATTCACTTGCTATTCTGAAGTTTTGGTTGTGTTTTTAACCTACAGAAGCACTTGTGTGTAAGGTGCGTTATAAATAAAATGCATTATTATTATGAAAACAATATATTTAGGGAAATTGCCCTGATGGCAGATAATCCTCCATCCCAGTCTCAAGTCATGTGCAGACTCCTACAGCTTCATTTCATGTATTGTCCTGTATTTTCCTCCATCAACCTTCCCATTAACTCAGACACTCTTCCCAGTCCCTGCTGAAGAAAAGCAGCCCCACAGCAGGAGAGTATTAGTTTTAACCAACAGCACTTGTTTACTGTGTCCCTTGTTTTCCTTCTTGCGACTTTATTTCAACACTGGCCTTTTCTACTGTTTCATAAAGACCAGATGTGTAGGACCAATACTTCCCCCAGGTCTGCAGCTCCTCCAGAGTGTCCACTGGCCTCTTGTCTACACTTGGTTCATAGAGGCTACACTTGGTTCATAGAGGCTACACTTGGTTCATAGAGGCTACACTTGGTTCATAGAGGCTACACTTGGTTCACAGAGGCTACACTTGGTTCACAGAGGCTACACTTGGTTCACAGAGGCTACACTTGGTTCACAGAGGCTACACTTGGTTCACAGAGGCTACACTTGGTTCACAGAGGCTACACTTGGTTCACAGAGGCTACACTTGGTTCACAGAGGCTACACTTGGTTCACAGAGGCTATACTTGGTTCCGTCAGCGTTAAGTTGCTTGTCAGAAATCTGGGTGTGATCGTTGAGTCAGAATAACAGGTACAGCAGCAGAGTGGTCCAGACTTGTATGTACCATGTACGGACAGAACCAACGTCAAAATACTTGTAGAGTTTCCATTATTCTCACAGAAAAAGAAAAAGTACTTGTTACGTTCAAAACCTGCTCACTGGGCTTCTCGAGTGTTACCAAAGTCTGTGACATGTTAGTGACATAGGAACCAACTGGGACTCTGAGGAGCACAGGGACCGGCCTCCTGCTGGGACCCTGAGGAGCACAGGGACCGGCCTCCTGCTGGGACTCTGAGGAGCACAGGGACTGGGACTTTTAAACGCACCTGTATATAAACTATATTAAACAAGACAACTATACACACAAACACGTACTATAAACTTACTATAAACATACTATAAACGTACTATACAGACAGTTACCTTGACCTGTCCTTCTTTGGCCTCTCCGTACTGCACGTGCTTCCGGAGGTGGTTACAGATGGCTCGCAGAGTGGTGTGCACCTCGGTACAGAAGTTGCACCTGTATCCGATCGGAGTGGTGTCGTCCGGGGTTTCCTGCAACACACAAGCGCACACCCACACACACACACACACAAAAGACACACACCAATATTAGCGCAGTTGACAGTATTGTTGCAATGAAATAAACATTTTCCAGTATTTTTTCATGGGAAGTTAAGCCGGGGAATTTAGGAAATATTCTATATGTGGGAACTTTCCGTGGGAACAATGGGAATTTACGGGAACTACAGTAACTGGGAATTAATCGTAATAAAATCAATTTGTATTATATCCAAGCATAAATATAAACATAAAGAAACATTGAACTTATCCACTAGATCTGGGAGCCCAAACTTTATCAACCCTGACCTACTTTTACAACAACTATTGAGCCGCGATCTTCCTCTGATTCATGTGAGCGGCGTTAGGATTCAGAATTATCACATTTGGTTCAATTCATGATCAAATAATGACCATGTTTTTATTATAAAAGTGCACATCTGTAGTGTGTAGTGTAAATGCTAAGTAAACAATGGCCTTTACTCTTTTATCTATTCTCTTTTTTTCTCTATTCCTAAGATGCAAAATGAAGTCCCCATGACCCGTTTAGTCTGCGTTTGTCCATTTTGTGAAGGCCATTGCTCACACAGCTCTACCAAAACTGCGCACTCACCTTCTCCTCCTTCCCATCCGTGGTCTTCACTTTACTCAGCAGAATCTTCCTCCTCTCTTGCCTCAGGGCCCTTTTCTCGAACTCCTCGTTGTGGCCCATGAGATGCTTGGCCAGCGTTTCCAGACTCTGATAACTGAGCTCGCAGTGGGAACACTTGTACACCTCGTCCTCCTCCTCCTCCGGACCAGGCATCACTCCGAAGTCCCTCTTCAGGTCTTCGCCGTGGTGGTCATTGTAATGCATGGACAGCATCTCGCCGCAGTTAAACGACAACCGGAAGCATTTGGTGCATTTGAACGGTAGTGTATCCTCGTCGTTGTCCTCCTGAAGCGGCATTTCCACAGCCGCGGTTTCTTCTTCTTCTTCTTGCATTGCGCTATTCTCACTTTGCTCGTCTTTGGCGTAGATGATCGTGAAGTACCTTCCCAGTTTGCTGGTTTGTTGTTTCTTGGGGAAGACACCGGGGTGGCGCTTGATGTAGTGTGAGACGATGCTCTTTCGGCTGAAGGCCTGGAAAGCACAGAGGGAACACTTACGTTGCTCTACCGCCAGGCGAATCTCCTCGGTCATTTCGGAGTTTGTGTCCGATTCTAAGGGCGGGGGAGCGAGGACTTTGACTGGCTTGTCCGTCATGGTCTTGGAAGCGGCCAAACAGTGAGTGTAGTAGGCGTCGATGTCATGGCGTTTCTGGTAGTGCGCAGCCAGACCTTTGCGAATGGGGTTGGTGTAAGGGCACAGGGCGCACTTGAAGACGTTGTTCTTCCCCTCTGGCTGGGCTCGGACGTTGTTGTGCTTGATGCGGTAGTGCCGGGCGATGCCTTTCCTCGTGGAGCAGAAGTATTTGCAGAGCTGACACTTAAATATTGCATGTTTTTCTGTTTTGTTCACAGGAGGACGAGTCACGCCAAAGTCCACTTCGCTCGATTCTTGGATTAGAGAAACACCGGCAGAGTTTGAGGCACTGCACTCGGCAACTAGTTCGCCGTCTTTACTCGAAAACTGTGTTAAAGAAGGAGTTAGTATATCAGTGACAGACTGGTTGTGGCATTTCTCGTAGTGTATTTTAAGTTTCTCCAGCGTCCCGTGAGTGTAAGAACACATCTTGCACCGGTAAGCGCCAAATCCTTGCCGTTGAGTTTTGCACTTGTCGTCTCCTTCCAGCACATCGGTGATTTGTTCGATATCGTCGGCAAAGTCCTCGGCTGTGACTTTAACAAGCGGGTGTCTTTTTTGATAGTGCGTGAGGACTCCGTGGATCCGAGAATTCACGTACGGACAGTGTCTGCATTTGTACACAGAACTGGGGTTGATGTCGGCCTCCTGAGCGAAATCCGCGGCTTTAACTTTCATGCCGGGATGCTTCTTGCCGTAGTGAGTGAGGAGGCCGTGGAGGCTGTTGTACTCGGACAGACAAACCGTGCACTGGTAGGAGTTGGTGGAGATGGAAAGACGTGGGTGCACTGAATGAGAGTTAGAGTGAGTTTCTCTTGGGGGCGTGGCGATCACCAGGGGGGAGTCATCCTCGATCGGCTGACAGTCAAAAGATGGCTCGTCACAGGGGACAGACGCCTGAGCTTTCTCTACTGACTCAGTTCCTTGGATAATGTCCAACAATACGGACTGGTCTCCCTTTATAACCCATGGGTGAATGGCTTGATAGTGACTGGTGATGTCCCATATGGTGCAAGCTTCAAAAGCACAGTCTCTACATTTGTAGTGTTTAGTTTCTGCATTGCTCCCTGTTTGCGTTTCTGGTCCGGCCCATAGTTTGCTAGCCATGTACGCATAATCGACATTATGCTCCGGATGGCGTTTTTGGTAGTGGACCAGTAGACCTTGAGGCTCCGCATGAGAGTAGATGCACCATTCACAGTGGTAGCCAGCCTCCAAGACGCCATCCTGGTACGCCCAGTGTAAAATAGTCATAGCTGTGGCTTTCACAGTGGGATGCTCCTTCTTTAAATGCTTTTTCAGAGCATAAACATAAGGAGACGTATAGAGGCAGTGTCTGCACTTGAGCGAGCGCAGTGGCGTTCCGGTCTCACAGTCCGGGACGGCAAGGATGGCGGAGGACACGCTGCTGGACTGGACCATTTCGCGTTGACTCCGGACCACTGCGGTGTGACGTCGCACCAGGTCGGCACTGGCCTTGGCTTCTTTGTGTTTCTTCTGATAGTGAATGAGCACCCCTTTCACCGAGCGGTTGCCGTAATCACAGTGCTGACAGAAGAAAAGCTCATCTTTGTCTCCATTTCCTGGACTGGGGTTGGACTCTTCCTGTCGACTGTTTTGAATTTGCTTTAAGAATTGTTTAGGAGCCGCTATCTGTAACTCATCCATTAACTTCATCAAGGCCTGAGTCGGTGGACCATTCTTTATATATTTAGCCGTCACCTTCACCTCTGGGTGTCTCTTTTGGTAATGGACTAATACCCCGACCACTGACCTATTGCTATAGACACAATGCTTACAGTAGAACATTTCTTCATCAGACCCATAGGACGCAATCGCACTCACAGAGGGTTTTGAGGGCGACGCTACGCTAACATGCAAGCCCATACCCTGGTCCACAGAAACAACCTTCATATTTTTTTGAATACGGAAATAAGATGCTTTATGCTCTGGGTGCTTCTTTTGATAGTGAACCAAAACCGAATGCATGTTTGGGCTGGCGAAGGAACACATGTCACAATCGTATACGACAACATTACCATCTCCCACTTCTGTAATGACCTCCAGATCCGTGCTATTGTCAGGAGTCTTGGAGCCACTTTTGCCGTGTGGACTCGAGCTGGACCTCACACTGGAAGCGGCTGAACTCAAACTCTTGGGCCCCGAGTTTAAGATCTCTCTGAGGGTTTGCGACTCGCCTGTTTTGGCAGGCTGCTCTACGTAATAACTGGAAAAAATCATAGCGTTGTTGATCTTGACAGTGGGATGCATTCTTTGGTAATGGGGCATGAGGCTGCGGACGTTTGGACTCGTATAGGAGCAGAAGCGACACATGTAGACTAGATCGGGCTGGTTAAAGTTGAGAACGTTACTTGCTTCTGGGTGGTGATCCATGTAATGTTGGTGTAGATCGTTGTAATTCGTGTACTCGATATAACACTCTAAACAACGGAACACCGCGCTCTGGTCTTCCGGGTCGAGAATGTACTTAAAGCTAAACTTGATGTATGGGTGCATCCTCTGGTAGTGGGTGCTGACGCTTCTCGCCGACTTGTTGTGGTAGTCACAGTGTTTGCAATAGAAACGCATGTTGCCAGTCTCTTCCGAAAAGTCGCTACTGTCTTGCAGAGTGTCTCCAGCGTTTACTGAAGTGTTTTCGCTATCGTCCGAGAGTGTGAAGGACAGTGGGAGGCTACGGTGCTTTAGTTTGGGGTTGTTCTTTCGCTTTCCTAGTCGTGCGCCATCGTGGGCCAGCGGAGAATCCTGGTCCAGCTGCGAACTATAGGCGAAGACTGTGTTCTGTCCGTCATGATTTCTGTCGTCCATGTTAGCGTTACTATGATTTCCCATCCCGTCCTCGTCATCTAGGTCATCCAGATTTATGACCATGTCCTGTTGACTTTGGCTTATCTTACTCTGAAGATTGCTGGCAATTTCATCAATCCTAGTTCTTTTCTTAACGGAGGACAAATCCAAAGGCAAGTCATTAATGGACTTCCTCGCTCTTTTCGCCGCTACCAACGGCTTTTTAGTTGCCAGTCCTAAAATTGAGGTCTGGGCCTTTTGCAGCAACATCGGGGAAGAGTTCGAATCCTCCAGCTGGTCATTCAACTGACCATCAAAGACAGTGGCGTCCAAATCGTCACAGTACGAATGTTTATGCTGCTGGTGAACCCTTAGACCTTTCAGGGTTGTGGTCGAGAAGCTGCAGAGGGTGCAACGGAAGGGGTTTTGCTGGTTGGTGGGTGTGCTGGTCATCGTGGCGCCATTTACTTTCATGATAACATTATTTCCATTCGCTGGCTCTGTCCCGCTGTCGTTCTCGTAGTCCGGACTATCGCCGGTCAGGTCGAACATCTGGCACTGGGAGGATGTATGCGTCTGTTTGTGGGTTCCCAATTTTAGCGCGCTCGTAGAAGTGAAAGGGCATTCGTCGCATTTGTAGACCGTGGCTTTACCCGACAGATGGATGTTTTCTATGTGACGAGAGATGCTCCTGCGATGCATGGTGAGGAACGAGCAAAACGGACACTGGAATCTGTTCATGTACTTCCTGAACGGGACTCCTTTAGTCTCCATTAGCTTACTGTCCTCCTCAGACAACAGCAGCTTCATGTCCGCAGACAGAGTCCCAGTGTAACTCGGCGTGTCCGTATCGCCCAGATCATCGTCATCATCGTCATCCTCCAAGCTGCTACAGGACTCCTCCTCGTTGTCCATCTCTGACACGTTCTTGGACAGGTCAGCCGAGGTGAATTTCTTGGACAGAATCGAGGCCCCGGTGCTGTTTGGTGTGGCTGCGTTGATCTGGGCGTATTGGAAAGACGAAATCTCTGCAACAGGCTTCTCCAGGTTTGTCTCTGATGCTGGTCCAAGAGTCTCCTCCTGGGAACTCGTGTTTGGGCTTCTGCCAGAGGAATGAACCGGTGAGACGCCTCCCTCTTCGTCCTCCAGCTCGGCAGCCGCCCCGACCTCATCGCCGTGTTCCTTCAGCACGTGGCTAGTCCAGCTATCTCTCTGGTCAGTCTGATAAGGGCACCATTCGCATGTGAACGTGCTTTTCTCGCTGGGTTCTGTCGGTTCTGAGGAATTAGCTTCTTTGTTGTGATACATAAGTGTGTGTTTGATTAGCCTTGCTTTGCGTGGAGTTGTGTAAGAGCAATACTGGCAGGAAAACACTTTTGGATGCTCGTTGTGCGTGGCGTCGCCAATGGGCTGCTGCGAAGCCTCTGACGACAGGCTGGATTCATCAGAGTCGTCCTCCGTGACATTGTGCACTTTTTTGGTGTGATTCGTCAAGAAGGACTTGGAGCGGAAGTAACGGACGCAGAACTTGCACTGGAAAAACGGCAGCAGCGACTCGGCCGTCTGCTTTGGTGACTTGTGGTTGGGAGCATCAGTAGTGGGGCCTGGAACACAGACAAAAAAAGTCGGGTCAGTTTGACATAAAATAAAACATATTAGAGCAAAGTGCGGCACGGGAGCTACATCCGGCCCAATTTACGTTTCTATGCGGCCCGACCCTTCCTAGCCGATCCAAGCCAGTCAGAAGCTTTTTAAAAATTAATCAGGAGTCAATTCTTCCCACTCTTTTTCGAGCTGGATTCTTGTTAATAACACAAAACAAACTGTATATTTGTATATTATCATCTACTGGGTTATTTTCATTTCCAATCGTTGTTTTGTGGTTGTTCTTTGTTCTTGTTTGCCATGGCTTGAAATAAGTAACAGTAGTAATAGTTAGACATGGGGAGGCTGCGTTTCAGATTCATGCAGCTAGAGTCTGGAACCGTCTTCCCGAGAGTGTGAGACAGGCGTCTACTCTAGCAGTTTTTAAAACTGAACTGAAAACAGTTCTTTTTAGCTGTGCATACAAGTGAATGATTTTATATTTGTTTTTTATCTTTAATCTTTTTAATGCGCTATGATTATTTATGATTATTTATGATTGTAATCCCTTGTGTGATTTTAATGTTTTACGGTTTTTAACTACTTGTGTGATTTTATATATCTTGTGCTCTTAATCTGTCTTTTTATGTTTACTTAAATTCTAATGTTTGATGATTTATGCATGATGTTATATGGGTTGTGAGGCGCTTTGCGTTGCCTTGTGTAGGAAAGGCGCTCTATAAATAAACGTTGATTGATCTATTCTGTTCTAAGTAATGAATCCAAAATGTGATTAGATTAAACTTTATGGTAATTACAAAGTCAAAATAATGCCACAAAATGCAGTTTAGCCTCTGACCAGAAGTGAAAAACATTTATGCTTTAGTGTTTGAGCCTGAAAATAGTTTTAATAGTTAAATAGTTTTAATGGTGAGATATGAGAAAGTGTGAATCCCTGTTTAAGGAACGTGTATGAACTTTGTGGTGAGGAGTTTTATAAACTTAAGCCATGTGTAATAATAAGTTTCTCACTGTGGGACCAATAAAAGCATTCATTCAATTGAAAAAAAATAAATAATAATAAAAAACTTCTATTTGCCTGGATTTTGCCTTTGCACGATGCACATAAACACAAGAACTCCCAGAACATTCTATGGCTATTAACGCAACTTTTCTTAATTTTCTGCTGGTCATGTCCTGGTTTGCTATATTTCAAGTCATATGAACAAGTTTTAGTGTGTATTAAAAAGCAAACAAAGAACAATATAAGGTTTTGAGACGTTATTACTGATATTGTCTGGGATAGAGGAACCCAATACTTTTAATTATACTAAGAAGGCAAGATGACTCTTCCTAAACTATGTATACATGTTTTAATTTTAATAAAAGTAGTCAATAAAGTAAACATTCTAATCTAGAATATCATAGATTTGAATGGGAGTCGTCCAAATGACTGCTCTGGGAGTCCTGGTGCTACAGAACAAATGTAAAATGCTAAAAAGCTAATTCTAAAACACAACAAAACAAGCAGAAAAATCCCGTTTCGTGGTTGGTATGTTGCGTGCATGTAAAGTAGGACGAGGCATTTGACATACTGGGTCCAGATTTAGGAGGGGCATAATCTGTGTCATCCTTATCCTCATGTTTCTCCTCTTCCTCCTCCTCCTCCTCTTCCTCCTCCTCCTTCACAGAGTCGGACTCAGCATCCGCCGGCTGCAGGAACGCCGTGTGCACTTCCTGAATGTGCGACTTGAGCTCGTCGTACGACTCGGCGCGGAAGTCACAGCTGTCGCACTGCAGTACCTCCATCCTCTGGAAGGGGGCGCACTCCCTGGAAAATCAGGGAAACCTGCAAAGACAGAAACGAGAGAGAAACAGATTAGGTAAAAGTTATATGTATAGCTCCTTTCAGAAACCAGGATCACAAAGCGCTTCGCAATAAAAAAAACATACAAAGAAAAACAATTCAACAAAGTCAGTTACAAAAATAAAAATACAGAATTCTACAGATTACAGATGGAACGGAGTTTAAGTTTAATTTATTAAGGACAATGTGCAGTTACATAAAAAAAAATGGCTGCATCAGATTTAGCAACATCTTACTTTCCATCTGTAGTCCTGAAGAGCCTTATCTGGCAGGTTTACATTATTGATTAATGTGCACTGTCCCATTCAAAAAAATAACATACAAAATTAATTAAAATAAATAAAATAAATAAAATAAATAAAATAAATAAAATAAATAAAATAAATAAAATAAATAAAATAAATAAAATAAATAAAATAAATTATCACAGAAAAGCCTGTTTAAAAAAATTGGTCTTATTTATTTATTTCACTCCAGATTGTACCTTGGGCTAATTTGCATCCGTTCTCCCACATTCGCACTCACAAACACACACTCATTCACCCTGAACTATTGCACATGTTTTGTTTCGACTGGGATTCGAACCCAGAACCTTCTTGCTGAGAAGCGAGAGTGTTACCCACTCAGTTGCCCAATTGGTGTTAGCGAGAACATCCGAGAGAACATCACAGGACTCTTACTGTGTATAAACCGCAATGGCTAATTTGAGAGAAAGTACATTTTGTCCACATATAAGCCTCACCTGAATATAAGCTAGAGGTTTTCATGTTGTGATGTAGCAGAGACGACTGTTTTAACTGGACACATGATTTAATGATGAGGAGTTTAACCTTAGCTTCCATGACTCATTCACCTTCATCTGTTTTGACAATAAACCTAAACTCTGCTCTGAAAACTCACCACAATGAAAATACACATATAAGCCGCATCGCTATATAAACAGCGGGGATCAAATAACTAGAAAAAAGTAGTAGCTTATAATCATGGATCTATAATAATAACTGGATAGGGTAACACTAGCTTATAGCTGTCCCACCCATGGCCACAGGGGGCGCTGTGGTAATGCAGACTAAAAATCACGTGGGCTACCCAGAAATGTTCCTCATATATCTCAATGTAAATTAAAACAGCTCGACCTCAGCTGACAGAGAACCTGACAGAGAACCTACAACTTTCACAAAGATCGTATTTTGTGGGGATTTTAGTGTCCCTTGTCATCCTGAACTTTTCTTCTTCTTAAATCCTTCGGTTTTCTATAAATCCACACTTTACTGCCACAGACTCTGCTCTTTTCCTTCCCGCTCTGACTCCGCTCTGATTGGTCTGTGCGCGTGCATTAGAGCCACACATGCCAATTTGGCACAAAGCATCATGGGAGATCGTCCACTGCACAGAACCGGGAGGACCAGACGATGCCCAGATATAGGTAAGTTCCTCTGATATGTCAGCGCCCGTGAAGTCCCATGCGCTGCTGAGCACAAGCCATTCATTAGAACAGGGCGCCATCTTGGATCAGCGGGGCTTGCTTATAGTCCACATCTACGATTAACTCAGTGCTATCTCAGAGCTGCTGATAACACAGGTATTGTGTGTCTTTCTTTCTTCTCCTTAAAACCGGCTTATGAAAATTCAAAATGCTTCTTAATTACATAACCAGCTGAGAAACAGAGGAATCATCAAGTGTTTCTTGTATAAAAATATACAAGAAACGTCTCCCTTGGAATGACAAAAAAGCAAAGTAAATGGTTTTGTCCCATTGGAGAATCTGGTTTAATGCAGTCAGATTAAAGGTCCCAGATTACGATTATAGTTTAAACATTACGTGAAATCACCTTTATGCAAGAAATGGCTATAATTTCTGTGTTTCCAGTGCTTAGAATGGACTGTGGAAAAATAAGAAAAACCAAATATAGAACCTACAAGAGAAAAAAACACTTGATTACAGCAATATTCTCCTCATATTTTATCATTTTTTTGCAGTCCGAGGGAAGCGTATCTTGTATATTTTGTATATATCACTTTGCTTTGTCCCTTTGGCAAATCTTGTTTTAAAGCAGTCAGTGTGTGTTCAAATTCAGACACTTTTTGCCAAATTTGCGCCACTTTTTACTTGTTTATCATGACAAAGCACTTTTTTTGCACTTGTACTGAAACTGATTTTATTTTTTTTTCTGTCTCTTAATGTTGTTTTATGTCTGTATCTGTCTGTGCACACTGGAGACTTTTTGCTAATGTATTCCAATGTGTTTTTTTTTTTACTGCAAATGGCAAACTGAATCTGAATCTGACTTTTTGCAGTGTAGTTATCTACCCTGAAAGACTTATCGTTGATGTTACGGACCAGATTCAAATTGTGATTGTGTGAAATCCGTGCTGCTGAACAAGGAATCAGATGTGGGCAACACAAGAGAAGGCCTCATTTTAGTGGTGCATCATCAGAACAACAATGAAAGGGACTGACGGGGGATTACAGAGAGATTTGTCCCATTTTTTATTACCTTGGGATAAGCAACAGCTGGAGAGCAGCTCCCAACCACAGTATTTACAGCAGCACTATTCTTCTCCCATTGTATCAAAGGAGACGGAGTGATTGAGTTCAGAGATGGCTTTTCTGAATCTCTCCACACTTAAAGACTGGAGCTGCACTGCAAAAAATGCTATAGAAAAAGTCAGAAATGTCTCAAAGTTGGCTAAATGTATAATAATAGCACATTTTGACTGCATTAAAACTAGATTCTCCAATGGAACAAAAAAAAATTATCTCGTTTTAAAAAGATTTACCATATTTTTGCAGAAGTAAGTAAGTGATGTTTATCTATATAGCGCGTTTTTACAGACCAAGGTCACCCAATTTTCATTCTCTCCACACACGGTGATGACAAAAGCGAGACGCCGAACACACTGGACCATCAAAGCCTCCGACCAAACACCCTCCATTCTCTCTCTCACTTACATTCATACTTATTGTGCGTGTTTTTAGTGGAAGTTGAAGCTGGAGCACCTGGAGGAAACCTACGCAGACACGGGGAGAACATGCAAACTCCACTCAGAAATGCCCTGTTCCGACCGGGATTCGAACCCAGAACGTGATATTTATTTATTTTTGTATCGCCCCAAATCACAACAGCAGTCATCTCAAAGGACTTTACAAAAATTTCGTTTCACCAACACAGATCAGAGAATCAAACAGTTCAAACACAAGAAATGCACATAGAGACCAATGTCCATAAATGTTGTTGCTACATGACATCAATACAACCTGAGGCTTATATTCAGGTGCGGCCTATATGTGGACACCACCGAGTTTCTCTGAACATGTAGGAGGTGCGGCTTATATACAGGTGCGGCTTATATACAGGTGCGCCTTATATACAGGTGCGCCTTATAGTCCAGAACGTATGGTAACCAGCGGACGGTCACATAGCTTATCTGGAAGGAGGGGTTTGACACTGGTCCTCACAGTCCAGTCTGAACCTGGAGACCTGAGGAAATGGGTGGAGTGCGGTGTGCTCCGGCTTGGTTGGAATGAAAACCCGCAGCCACACCGGCCCTTTGTGGACCCAGTCTGACACCCCTGGTATGGAGAATATCATCCTCGACCTTTATTAGACCGGGAAAGTCCCACTGGAGGTTTCAGACGAGTCCTGGCTCCAGAGAGAGGAGAGCTATTGTGCCTGTTTATAGATAAGAGAAACTGGAGCTAGGTTCTCAGTTTGGTGCTATCACTTTAGATTTCACCTGCATGTATGTTTTGCTCTGCTGCATCTCCAAATCATCTTTTTCTCAGGCTGAAACATGACTGCTCTTGCTTTAGCCAATCAGCTCTCAGCTTTTTCACATTAAGAAATCGTCAATTCGTCTCGCAGTGTCTCTATCTAGTGCAAGGATCTCAAACCTGTAAATCGGGAGCCACCAGTAGCTCACCACCCCCTTCCAGGTAGCTCTATTTAGAAATGAAAAAATAAATATACTGGATATTTCCGAATGCATTACTTAACTGCTCACAACTATTGTAAACGCAAATGTACTTTGTGGAGTAGCAACGAATATGTGATAAAAAAAAGATTGTTGATTTAAAGACCTTATGACGGGTTTTTTTAAAAAAAATAGTGGATATCAAAATTGCATGACAATGTCAATTTGAAAGAGATTCCGGCAAAAAAAATCCTATATTTTATAAAAAGAACGTGTTTTTCATGAATTTAAGTTGTCTATGCTCTAACCTGTGTGTGACGTCACAGCGGGTCACGCCCATGCATTGAAAACCATGGATCTATGCCACAGGACTGCCTTTTCTCTCTTCTCTCCACTGATGCCCAACTCAATACTGCACTCTACAGGTGACAATTGCTCATTACACATAAATTGCCGTTTTGAGTGTGAAAAAATGTCCTAGGTGGGATTTGAACCCAAGTATCTGGATTGGCAGTCCATCGACACAACCACTGGACTATCTCAGTGACAACGAAATAACATATTCTAGTAGTTATCTCATACTCGCTGTACACGGCCTTGTCATCTTGAATATCCGCGAAAAAAGAACGAATACCAAATTGTAAACAACTTACAGCGTTGAAACGTACCCGCTCTGACGTCACCAAGGGCTGTGAAGTTTTTTCGTCTCTAAGGGCGTTGCTATGGGGTTATTTCGATTTGGGGGGATCAGACAAAAAAAACAACAACTGATTTTGAAACCTTTAATAGTTCTCTTCTAATATAAAATGGTATTAAAACTGTATTTCTAAATAAATCAAACCCGTCATAAGGTCTTTAAGGACTGCATAAAGGAGTAGCTCTCTGCTTTTTGTGTTTCGGGAAAGTAGCTCTCTGGGTTTAAAAGGCTGGAGACACCTGCTCTAGTGCGACTCCATAGTTGCGAGGCTTTGGCTAATTCTGAAATTCAGCAAAAAAATACTTCCTCCATTATTTCTTCCTTGTGTCAGGCTTAAAATTGATCTTTTATGACACTGGGGCGCCACAGGTTTGATCAAGTGGAGTTTAGCATCCAACTCATTGAATGCCAGCCTATTTCAGAACAGGTACTCCCACAGTGCCAGCCATTTATGATGATTTTTACTGATTTTTCAAGACCCACAGAATATTGTGTACTATGACTATCTGAAACCGACACCAGATTCTAAAAGAATGGACTGGCTACTTTCCTCAGCAAAAAGAATTTTGTTTATAGCTTTTTTCGTTGCCCTGTAATCCTCCGTTGAGTAGAGGGAAGTTTTACTGATATCACCAGAAATCACCAGAAAGTTGAGAAAAAAGAGGCACAACATGTGCACCTACATGTTTTCAAACCATTCAGAGAGCAATGCTGCCACCTGCTGGCTCGATAAAATATGGTCTCAAGTCATCCCCATACATATTAGATACAATAGACATCTGGGAACGTGAAAATAGCAAAAAAGGCATTTGACGTTACTATTTGCTTTGACGTATTTGTGCGTCAATGGGACACAATGAGTTAAAAACATGTTTTGATGACACTTAAGTTTATACAAATGAGAAGGAATAGCTGGGAAGGGGGTATTGTTATGAATTTGCATGCAGCCTTTACTACTAGCTTTCTGTCTGTGGATTCCCTATACCTATGTCTCTGTATGTTTCTTGTAACTCAGTTTAGTGTCATTAAATGTCTAGTTTTAATGTCAAAATGTGCAATATAGAAGTACACGTGTCCAGTGTCACTTTACTGAGTCACTTTGTCCCAAGTTACAGACGTTTACATACAACTATATATATTTATTGCACTAGAATATACAATATTTTATGTCCGTTATATACTAAAGCTAGAGATGGTATACTAGCTTCTTTTTTATGCTAAAGCTAACGATTTTATACTAGCTTCTTTATTATGCTAAAGCTAACAATTTTCTACTAGCTTCTTTATTATGCTAAAGCTAGAGATTTTCTACTAGCTTCTTTATTATGCTAAAGCTAGAGATTTTATACTAGTTTCTTTATTATGCTAAAGCTAGAGATTTTATACTAGTTTCTTTATTATGCTAAAGCTAACAATTTTATACTAGCTTCTTTATTATGCTAAAGCTAACAATTTTATAGTAGCTTCTTTTTTTTAAATTTTTTTTTATTATGCAACATTTACACAAACAATACAATAACAATAACAACATAAAAGTCAGAAAGATGTTGACAAAATACAAAACAAACAAAAAATATACAACAAATAAGACAATAACAAATCAAGGAAATTAGTAGTAACTGAGGGAGGTATTCTGTGATTGTTTGTGTACGTGTGTGCGCGTGTGTGTGTGAAGGTAATTGAAATACAGATACAATATTATTGTCATCCACACATTATCACCATGTGTGGATGCTTCTTTTTTATGCTAGAGCTAACAATTTTATACTAGCTTCTTTATTATGCTAAAGCTAACGATTTTATACTAGCTTCTTTATTATGCTAAAGCTAACGATTTTATACTAGCTTCTTTATTATGCTAAAGCTAGAGATTTTATACTTTTATACTGAAAGCTCGGTTTCCCATCTTTAAAAGGGAAAAATAGACTTGCACCTTTGGAATGGACCTTCGCGGCCTTTGTGAGATAACTTATCTTTAGAGTTGGAAAACTCTCCAGAGCTTCTTCAAAATACAGTAAAACAATGATTATTAAAGGATTTTTATTTACTCTCAAGAAAATGCCTCAGATTTAGTTTCCTTTCTCGCACCAGTGTTTATTATCTGCTGATCCTGAGTTGCGGCTGACAAGGAGTGACCCTCTGGGGCCTCACTCTGGGGCCTCACTCTCTCCCTCTGGTCTCTCTGTGGCTTACTCTGGCCTCTCTCTGGTGCCTCACTCTCTGGGGCCTCACTCTCTGGGGCCTCACTCTCTGGTGCCTCACTCTCTGGTGCCTCACTCTCTGGTGCCTCACTCTCTGGTGCCTCACTCTCTGGTGCCTCACTCTCTGGGGCCTCACTCTCTGGTGCCTCACTCTCTGGGGCCTCACTCTCTGGGGCCTCACTCTCTGGGGCCTCACTCTCTGGTGCCTCACTCTCTGGTGCCTCACTCTCTGGGCCTCACTCTCTGGGGCCTCACTCTCTGGGGCCTCACTCTCTGGGGCCTCACTCTCTGGGGCCTCACTCTCTGGGGCCTCACTCTCTGGGGCCTCACTCTCTGGGGCCTCACTCTCTGGGGCCTCACTCTCTGGGGCCTCACTCTCTGGGGCCTCACTCTCTGGGGGGCCTCACTCTCTGGTGCCTCACTCTCTGGGGCCTCACTCTCTGGGGCCTCACTCTCTGGGGCCTCACTCTCTGGTGCCTCACTCTCTGGTGCCTCACTCTCTGGTCTCTCTCTCTGGTCCTCCACTTTGGCCTCTCTTTCTGATCCTCTCTAGTCGCTCTCTGGTCTCTCTCTCTTCCTCTCTGGTCTTGCTCCCTGTTCCTCTCTGGTCTCTCTCTCAGTTCCTCTCTGGTCTCTCTCGCTTCCTCTCTGGTCTCCCCCTCTCTGTTCCGCTCTTCTCTCTCTTCCTCTCCAGTCTCTCTGCCTCTTCCTCTCTAGTCTCTCTCCCTCTTCCTCTCTAGTCTCTCTCCCTCTTCCTCTCTGGTCTCTCTCCCTCTTCCTCTCTGGTCTCTCTCCCTCTTCCTCTCTGGTCTCCCCCTCTCTGTTCCGCTCTTCTCTCTCTTCCTCTCCAGTCTCTCTGCCTCTTCCTCTCTAGTCTCTCTCCCTCTTCCTCTCTAGTCTCTCTCCCTCTTCCTCTCTGGTCTCTCTCCCTCTTCCTCTCTGGTCTCTCTCCCTCTTCCTCTCTGGTCTCTCTCCCTCTGTTCCATCTTATAGTCCAGAAATGACTGCTTTCATTTGTGGTAAAATGCCCTGGTGTCCCTGGTTTCTCTCCCGGCTGCTTGGCTCCAACAGAGGAGGCTTTCACAGATCCCAGAGCAACCATGCCTGCTCTGTGCCGAGGGTTAAGTTTCACCAGGAGGCCCCACCCTGTCCTGTTGGCAGTCCATGCTCCAGACCTTTCCCTCTGCCTCTCCAATACTGACAAATACTACAGGCAAAACACACGCACACACACGCACACACACACGCACACACACACACACACTGACTTATTTTTCATCACTTTTTGCAGTGCACAGAGGTAAAGCCTTCTCCATACAACCCATGGGCTTTTTGTGTTACAGGCGAGGAGTTAATATGTTAGATTGAGTGTGTGTGTGTTTGTGTATATGTGTATGAGTGTGTGCAGTATGTGTTTATGGACATTTATCAACATTAATTGTCACTGGTCATCGGCCGCTTTTCTGTCAATGCATTTCTTGTGTTTGATTCTCTGATTTGTGTTGGAAAAATCAACGGTTTGTAAAGTCCTCTGAGATACCCACTGTTGTGATTTAGGACTATACAATTGAGCTGAAGTGTGTGTGTGTGTGTGTGTGTGTGTGTGTGTGTGTCAGCTGGGGCTTGGACAGGCTGTGACAGAGCTCAGATCCTCCTCTGAGCCTACATTCAAGGGCAGCCATTTTAAGCGCTGTGTGTGTGTGTGTGTGTGTGTGTGTGTGTGTTGCTCTGTGTGTGCGCGCTTAGGTGTTCAAGCCAGCACACAACATGGAGCCACAGATCTGATCCTCCTCCTCCTCAAAAGGCAAGCAGCCGTCACTGGAGAGCAGGAGACAGGAATCTATCCGCCAGACGCACACAACACAGTGGCCCCAGTGCTGATCCAGGCCCAACGCTGCAAACACACATCTCTCAGGTCGTACCGCAACCGTTTCCACCTCCTCCTCCTCATTTCTCCACAACATCATCTCCGACCGACGCACAACAATTTCTGCCCTCGGACTGAATCGCGACATGTCTCGAGACTGTACGCGGCAAACGCTGAAGGAGAAGGTTAAAGCGAATAGGTTCTTACAGATGATGCTAGCTGTCTGCTCCACAAGGGGGTCTCTCTCTGGTCTCTCTCTCGGTCTCTGGTCTCTCTCTCTCTCTCTGGTCCCTCTCTCTCTCTCTCTGGTCCCTCTCTCTCTGGTCTCTCTCTCTCTCTCTGGCCTCTCTCTCTCTGGCCTCTCTCTCTCTGGCCTCTCTCTCTCTGGCCTCTCTCTCTCTGGCCTCTCTCTCTCTGGCCTCTCTCTCTCTCTGGCCTCTCTCTCTCTCTGGCCTCTCTCTCTCTCTGGCCTCTCTCTCTCTCTGGCCTCTCTCTCTCTCTGGCCTCTCTCTCTCTCTGGCCTCTCTCTCTCTGGTCTCTCTCTCTCTCTGGCCTCTCTCTCTCTGGCCTCTCTCTCTCTGGCCTCTCTCTCTCTCTGGCCTCTCTCTCTCTCTGGCCTCTCTCTCTCTCTGGCCTCTCTCTCTCTCTCTGGCCTCTCTCTCTCTCTGGCCTCTCTCTCTCTCTGGCCTCTCTCTCTCTCTGGCCTCTCTCTCTCTCTGGCCTCTCTCTCTCTCTGGGCTCTCTCTCTCTCTGGCCTCTCTCTCTCTCTGGCCTCTCTCTCTCTCTGGCCTCTCTCTCTCTGGCCTCTCTCTCTGGTTGTCACAGCCCCTCCCTACCTGACAGGGGCGGTTGCCAGGGCCGTGACACTGGTCTCTCTTTTCTCCCTCTCTCTGGTCTTGCTCTTTCTCTGGCCTCTCTCTCTCTGGTCTCCCTCTCTGGCCTTTTCTCCCTCTCTTTGGTCTCTCCCTCTCTCTGGTCTTGCTCTTTATCTGGTCTCCCTCACTCTCTGGTGCCTCTCCCTTTTCTCTCCCTGTGCTCCCTCTCTTTGCTCTCCCCTTCTCTCCCTCTGCTTAAACACCATACTCTCTGGACAACAAACCACACATCTCTCCTCTCTCAGACCCACCTCTCAGCCTGCTCTCCCTCTCTCTGGTCCCTCTCTCCCTCCGTCTGGTCTCTCAGCCTGCTCTCCCTCTCTCTGGTCCCCCTCTCCCTCCGTCTGGTCTCTCAGCCTGCTCTCCCTCTCTCTGGTCCCTCTCTCCCTCCCTCTGGTCTCTCAGCCTGCTCTCCCTCCCTCTGGTCCCTCTCTCCCTCCCTCTGGTCTCTCAGCCTGCTCTCCCTCTCTCTGGTCTCTCTCTCTGGTCTCTCAGCCTGCTCTCCCTCTCTCTGGTCCCTCTCTCCCTCCCTCTGGTCTCTCAGCCTGCTCTCCCTCCCTCTGGTCCCTCTCTCCCTCTCTGGTCTCTCAGCCTGCTCTCCCTCTCTCTGGTCTCTCTCCCTCTCTCTGGTCTCTCAGCCTGCTCTCCCTCTCTCTGGTCTCTCTCCCTCCCTCTGGTCTCTCAGCCTGCTCTCCCTCTCTCTGGTCTCTCTCTCCCTCTCTCTGGTCTCTCAGCCTGCTCTCCCTCTCTCTGGTCCCTCTCTCCCTCTCTCTGGTCTCTCAGCCTGCTCTCCCTCTCTCTGGTCTCTCAGCCTGCTCTCCCTCTCTCTGGTCTCTCTCTCCCTCTCTCTGGTCTCTCAGCCTGCTCTCCCTCTCTCTGGTCCCTCTCTCCCTCTCTCTGGTCCCTCTCTCCCTCTCTCTGGTCCCTCTCTCTGGTCTCTCAGCCTGCTCTCCCTCTCTCTGGTCTATCAGCCTGCTCTCCCTCTCTCTAGTCCCTCTCTCCCTCTCTCTGGTCCCTCTCTCTCTGTCTCTCAGCCTGCTCTCCCTCTCTCTGGTCCCTCTCTCCCTCTCTCTGGTCTCTCAGCCTGCTCTCCCTCTCTCTGGTCCCTCTCTCCCTCTCTCTGGTCCCTCTCTCCCTCTCTGGTCTCTCAGCCTGCTCTCCCTCTCTCTGGTCTCTCAGCCTCCTCTCCCTCTCTCTGGTCCCTCAGCCTGCTCTCCCTCTCTCTGGTCCCTCTCTCCCTCTCTCTGGTCCCTCTCTCCCTCTCTCTGGTCCCTCTCTCCCTCTCTCTGGTCTCTCAACCTGCTCTCCCTCTCTCTGGTCTCTCAGCCTGCTCTCCCGCTACAGCCCTGTGCAGCAGAAGGTTAAAGCAAATAGGTTCCTACAGACGCTGCCAGATCTCCGCTCCACACGAGGGGGGTCTAAAAATGTGAAGCATGTCTGAACTTCTTTATCAGCCCCAGAGAAGGCTCCGTGGGGGTGGGGAGCTCAGAGGCACCACCTGGAAGACCTTCAGTGTGAGGGAGAGAGCTGCGGCCCGGACAAAGCCATCAGACAGGGCTCCCCAGATTCCAAAGTCTACTGACATTTTGTTAATCACCAACCGGTCTCTCGGCATTGGTGAGGCCTGCCAGCGGTCACACCCTCTACTCAAACTCTCTGACAGCAGCTGCTCGGCCTGAATGAGGGCCTCTGAATAAGCCAACATTAAGCTGATTAGAAGTACAGAGGTTTTGTCTCCAACTGCTGGTCACTGGTCCAGTCTGATGGTGTTAGGGACCAGAGGAGAATGTATATGTTTGGATTCAGGTCATGCTGAAACCAGGCTGGAGGCACATTTGAGATTCAAAACGGATTCTTTCTCCCTCTCACTGGTTCTCTGGCCTCTCCATACTCACTCTCGCTCTCTGGTCTCGCTCTCTGGTCTCGCTCTCTGGTCTCGCTCTCTGGTCTCGCTCTCTGGTCTCGCTCTCTGGTCTCGCTCTCTGGTCTCGCTCTCTGGTTCGTCTCTGGTCTCGCTCTCTGGTCTCGCTCTCTGGTCTCGCTCTCTGGTCTCGCTCTCTGGTCTCGCTCTCTGGTCTCGCTCTCTGGTCTCGCTCTCTGGTCTCGCTCTCTGGTCTCGCTCTCTGGTCTCGCTCTCTGGTCTCGCTCTCTGGTCTCCTGCTCTCTCTCTGGTCTCCTGCTCTCTCTCTGGTCTCCTGCTCTCTCTCTGGTCTCCTGCTCTCTCTCTGGTCTCCTGCTCTCTCTCTGGTCTCCGCTCTCTCTGGTCTCTCTCTCTGGTCTCCTGCTCTCTCTCTGGTCTCCTGCTCTCTCTCTGGTCTCCTGCTCTCTCTCTGGTCTCCTGCTCTCTCTCTGGTCTCCTGCTCTCTCTCTGGTCTCCTGCTCTCTCTCTGGTCTCCTGCTCTCTCTCTGGTCTCCTGCTCTCTCTCTGGTCTCCTGCTCTCTCTCTGGTCTCCTGCTCTCTCTCTGGTCTCCTGCTCTCTCTCTGGTCTCCTGCTCTCTCTCTGGTCTCCTGCTCTCTCTCTGGTCTCCTGCTCTCTCTCTGGTCTCCTGCTCTCTCTCTGGTCTCCTGCTCTCTCTCTGGTCTCCTGCTCTCTCTCTGGTCTCCTGCTCTCTCTCCTGGTCTCCTGCTCTCTCTCTGGTCTCCTGCTCTCTCTCTGGTCTCCTGCTCTCTCTCTGGTCTCCTGCTCTCTCTCTGGTCTCCTGCTCTCTCTCTGGTCTCCTGCTCTCTCTCTGGTCTCCTGCTCTCTCTCTGGTCTCCTGCTCTCTCTCTGGTCTCCTGCTCTCTCGCTGGTATCCTGCTCTCTCTCTGGTCTCCTGCTCTCTCTCTGGTCTCTGCTCTCTCGCTGGTCTCCTGCTCTCTCTCTGGTCACCTGCTCTCTCTCTCTGGTCTCCTGCTCTCTCTCTGGTCTCCTGCTCTCTCTCTGGTCTCCTGCTCTCTCTCTGGTCTCCTGCTCTCTCTCTGGTCTCCTGCTCTCTCTCTGGTCTCCTGCTCTCTCGCTGGTCTCCTGCTCTCTCCTGGTCTCCTGCTCTCTCGCTGGTCTCCTGCTCTCTCGCTGGTCTCCTGCTCTCTCTCTGGTCTCCTGCTCTCTCGCTGGTCTCCTGCTCTTCTCTCTGGTCGTCTCCTGCTCTCTCTCTGGTCTCCTGCTCTCTCTCTGGTCTCCTGCTCTCTCTCTGGTCTCCTGCTCTCTCTCTGGTCTCCTGCTCTCTCTCTGGTCTCCTGCTCTCTCTCTGGTCTCCTGCTCTCTCTCTGGTCTCCTGCTCTCTCTCTGGTCTCCTGCTCTCTCTCTGGTCTCCTGCTCTCTCTCTGGTCTCCTGCTCTCTCTCTGGTCTCCTGCTCTCTCTCTGGTCTCCTGCTCTCTCTCTGGTCTCCTGCTCTCTCTCTGGTCTCCTGCTCTCTCTCTGGTCTCCTGCTCTCTCTCTGGTCTCCTGCTCTCTCTCTGGTCTCCTGCTCTCTCTCTGGTCTCCTGCTCTCTCTCTGGTCTCCTGCTCTCTCTCTGGTCTCCTGCTCTCTCTCTGGTCTCCTGCTCTCTCTCTGGTCTCCTGCTCTCTCTCTGGTCTCCTGCTCTCTCTCTCTGGTCTCCTGCTCTCTCTCTGGTCTCCTGCTCTCTCTCTGGTCTCCTGCTCTCTCTCTGGTCTCCTGCTCTCTCTCTGGTCTCCTGCTCTCTCTCTGGTCTCCTGCTCTCTCTCTGGTCTCCTGCTCTCTCTCTGGTCTCCTGCTCTCTCTCTGGTCTCCTGCTCTCTCTCTGGTCTCCTGCTCTCTCTCTGGTCTCCTCTCTCTCTCTGGTCTCCTGCTCTCTCTCTGGTCTCCTGCTCTCTCTCTCTGGTCTCCTGCTCTCTCTCTGGTCTCCTGCTCTCTCTCTGGTCTCCTGCTCTCTCTCTCTGGTCTCCTGCTCTCTCTCTGGTCTCCTGCTCTCTCTCTGGTCTCCTGCTCTCTCTCTGGTCTCCTGCTCTCTCTCTGGTCTCTCGCTCTCTCTCTCTGGTCTCGCTCTCTCTCTCTGGTCTCGCTCTCTCTCTCTGGTCTCGCTCTCTCTCTCTGGTCTCGCTCTCTCTCTCTGGTCTCGCTCTCTCTCTCTGGTCTCGCTCTCTCTTGCTAATGAACTGTGCTATATCTGTGCTGGTTGTTTCCCTTTTTCTAAAGACATTTGTTCAAATCTATATTAATCCACAATAGCACAACATCTTGTCAACAGTCTGAAAGAAATAGGTCTCTAGTCTCTGGTCTCTGGTCTCTCTTTTGGACTGAGCCTCCTCTGTGCAGACACCAGGAGGAGGACTCAGGCATCTGGCACCAAGATGTCAGCGGCAGAAGATATTTTGAGCTCAGCTGGTTTGGACCATCTACCAGAAGAGAACACACACCTCGTTTTAATGTTCCCTACACATTTGTCTCTCTGGTCTCTCTCTGGTCTCTCTCTGGTCTCTCTCTGGTCTCTCTCTGGTCTCTCTCTGGTCTCTCTCTGGTCTCTCTCTGGTCTCTCTCTGGTCTCTCTCTGGTCTCTCTCTGGTCTCTCTCTGGTCTCTCTCTGGTCTCTCTCTGGTCTCTCTCTGGTCTCTCTCTGGTCTCTCTCTGGTCTCTCTCTGGTCTCTCTCTGGTCTCTCTCTCTCTCTCTGGTCTCTCTCTCTGGTCTCTCTCTCTGGTCTCTCTCTCTGGTCTATCTCTCTGGTCTATCTCTCTGGTCTATCTCTCTGGTCTATCTCTCTGGTCTATCTCTCTGGTCTATCTCTCAGGTCTATCTCTCAAGTCTATCTCTCAAGTCTCTCTCTCTGCTCACTCTCTGTAATGTAAAAAATGCTAATGCTAACTGCTGCTAGCAAACAGTGTGTAGCTATGGTAACAAGCACTTGATATTCTCTGGTTAAAATCAAGTCAAATAAGATAATGACATAGAAAAAAACTACATAAAAGAAACAGACGCAGCCCCAAAGTTGTGAAGACCAAAAACGTTTACAACCTTAAAGACTTTTAAAACTAACAGCCGTCAAATTGACTGCTCAAAGAATGTTAAAATCTATGAAAATAGTTTGAACAGAACCCTGCAGCTTCTCCAGTGTTGGACAGACACAGGTCTCTCTTTATTATCATTTGAGCAGGAAACCACTGCTCCTGACCTGAGCCTTAGCGGCATCAGGATGGGTCAAATGCAGAAGATGAATTGCCCTACGGGGATTAATTAAGTGCACCTTTAACTTAGAGCCATTGGTCCGTAAGTGACAGAGACCAATGTCCATAAATGAAAATAAAATCCATAATTATCATTGGTGTATTTGAAGGTCATTATAGTTATGCTTATTTTTTATTATTGGTCTCTTGCGATTCAAAGCAGATTGCAATTTTAGGTGAAAAAAATATATATATGGCAATAATATCGTTATCGCAATTCTAAAAACTCATTTCCGATACGGTGCAGCCCTAGTGTGGAGAGTCCTGGACCCTCACTGTCCTCAGACCCTCCTGCATCAGAGAAGAACGACTCTGAAAGCCAGCGGAGCGTAAACATCTGGAGCTGCTCTTGTCACTGGAGACGGGTCAGAACAGAGGACACACTTCTCTACAGGGACCAGAACGAGACCGAGTCCAAGCCCAGAGCCAAAACGTCACGATGATGCCACGAAGCATACAGTATAATAATAATAATAATAATGCATCGGTTTTATACAGCGCTTTTTTGGACACGCAAAAATGCTTCACACCATTAATCTTTCACTCCATACACCGTGGTATAAACTTCTACTGTAGCCACATCTGCCCTGGGGCACACTGACAGAAGCGAGGCAACCAGTCTGTGCCATCGGCCCCTCCCACCACCACCAACCATTCACACACACACCAGACGCATTCTAGGCCAAATACTAATATATATATATATATATATATATATATATGAATGTATGATTGTAGTAGTAGTGATTATAAAGCTCTTTGTGAGTCTGGTCTGGGGATGGTGCTATATAAATAAATATGACTTATTTCTTACAACGTTGTGGAGAAGAATCTGAGTTTTATAATGTGCTCGGCCTTCAGGCTTGACCAGCAGTGAGCTCAGAGACCTTTATCTGTCAGCGGAGGCAGATAACAGCAGAGGATCAAAAGACACGCTCTCTCAACCCCCATGACCTTCATAATCCAACGGGAAGAGAGAGAGCAGAGAGAGGAGAGCGAGACGAGAGAGAGAGAGCAGAGAGAGCAGAGAGAGAGAGAGAGAGCAGAGAGAGAGAGAGAGAGCAGAGAGAGGAGAGAGAGGAGAGAGAGACGAGAGAGAGAGAGCAGAGAGAGTGCAGAGAGAAAGCAGAGAGAGAGAGAGCAGAGAGAGAGAGAGAGCAGAGAGAGAGAGAGAGAGAGAGAGAGAGAGAGAGAGAGAGAGAGAGAGAGCAGAGAGAGAGAGCAGAGAGAGAGAGCAGAGAGAGAGAGCAGAGAGAGAGAGCAGAGAGAGAGAGAGCAGAGAGAGAGAGCAGAGAGAGAGAGCAGAGAGAGAGAGAGAGAGAGAGAGAGAGAGAGAGAGAGAGAGGAGAGAGAGAGAGAGCAGAGAGAGAGAGAGCAGAGAGAGAGAGAGAGAGGAGAGAGAGAGCAGAGAGAGCGAGCAGAGAGAAGAGAGAGCAGAGAGAGAGAGCAGAGAGAGAGCAGAGGGAGAGAAGAGAGAGAGAGCAGAGAGAGAGCAGAGAGAGAGCAGAAAGAGAGAGCAGAGAGAGCAGAGAGAGAGAGCAGAGAGAGCAGAGAGAGAGCAGAGAGAGAGAAGAGAGAGGAGAGAGAGGGAACAGTAGGACATCAGAGAGAGAGAGAGCAAGCAGAGAGAGAGACCAGAGAGAGAAGGACCAGAAAGAGACCAGAGAGAGACCAGAGAGGGAAGGACCAGAAAGAGACCAGAGAGAGAGCACAGAGAGAAACACCAGAGAGAGAGACCCCACAGAGACCAGAGAGAGACCAGAGAGAGAGCACAGAGAGAGAGACCCCACAGAGACCAGAGAGAGAGAGAACTTTCTATACAGCGACCTGGCCTTCCACAAGAATCTCCCATATATTTTCTACACTTTCATTTCTTCTGCTTATTTCTGTTATGGATTTGAGTCCTCCATCTCTTCTCACGTTCAAGGACACCCATCCAAATTTCTAAAACAGATTCTCCGGTGCCAAAAAGGGTTAAAAGTGCTGTGAGGATCTGCAGGAGATGAACATGGGCAAGGTTATTTGTATGGCACAGTTCAAACACAAGGCAACCCCTTCCACCTACAGACACAGACAGCTGCTGGTGGAGGTCGGCCATTATTATAGCAGCAAAAACCTTCTATGAACGCACTCCAAACTAGTTTTATTCCATTTATTTTTAGTATATAGTCCTAAATCACCCTACAAATTGCTGTTTCACCAACAGCAGATTAGAGAATCAATCAGTTACCGACAGGGCAATCACATATTAGACATTTTTCAATCAAGCACTAGTTAAAAAGGTACAAATGACTTACTCCTAGCGGCTGATAAGGGCCTAAATAAGTACGTAAGTGTCTGTGTAGGTTTCCTCCAGGTGCTCCGGTTCCACCCACCACTAAAAACATGTACAGTAGGTCTGGCATGTGCCTCCGTTACTGACCCTGCTCCCATCTCTGAGTGGAGTGAGAGACTAATGTCCACCATAATTGTAAACCGCTTTGTGACTTTGGTCTGTGAAAGGCGCTATATCAATAAATATGACTTACTTACTTCCTCAGACTAGTCAACAAAACACTATAACATTTTACTTTGAATTTTGTCTCTCACTCTTCCCAGAAATAGGAGCAGGGTCACGATACAGGAGGCGCATGACAGACCTATTGTGCATGTTTTTAGTGGTAGGGGAAACCGGAGCACCCAGAGGAAACCTACGCAGACACAAGGAGAGCACGCAAACTAGAAACCAGTGTCATTTCTGCAGGACGCCACGATACCACAACATGCTGCTGCAGAGGCGAGACCGTGACTCAGGTCTCAGAGGAACTGATGCTGTTTCTCTGTTGCCGTCGAAAGTATGGCGCCATGGAAGCTCACATTAACCTTACCATTAATACTGCAAGTTAACAGTACATTGGACCCTTAGGCTTGGTGTTTTGCCCCCAGTCCTGTAGAACTTTGAAGCAGCCGTGATCCACTTGTCATCAATGGGGAGTTGTTTCTTTCATATCTGAGGGAGGTACGTCTCTGTTTATACTATTTAATGTCTCGTAAGTTCCTCATTGGAGGCAGGCGGCTTCAGAGCTGGGCCTGGTCGTATGGGGGACGTGGACCTTTTTTATTTGTATATGTCGCATTTATAATAATAATAATAATAAATAAAACTTATATAGCCCTTTTTTGGACACTCAAAGACGCTTTGCAAAACACATAGAAATGAACATTGAAAAGAGGCACCAATAACACATTTGTTATAGGTTTTGTTTTTAACCCATAGTTTTGGAATCATAGGCCTTTACCAATTAGGTAGATTCCCAAGCTCCAAATAGATAGTGAGAGTGGGAATTGATGAAAACATTTCTTCCTCCCACTCCTTTTCGAGTTTGAAGGATGTCAGTATTGTAATGGGATGATTTTGAAGTACAGTGAACTCAAAATAATTAAACAACTCAACTCAAAAAAGTGATCCACCAAGAGTTAAACGCAAGAAATGCAATGATCAAAACTACACAGAGCCATACGTCCTTAAAGGGGCAGAGACCAATGTCCAGAAATGTAGATAAATGTGGAGAGTCCTTATGACGTGATCCGAGTCTGAACACACAGATGAGACTTCGATCGCACCTGGTCGATCGGAGGAGTGGGCCTTTTCACCAGAGATGTGACGGATCAATAATGTTCGCAACGTTTTGTCACAACATTCATCACACATCTGCCTGGGAGGAACGAGGAACTATGACTCAGATTCACAACACAAAAATCATTACAGAGACAACCCCCAAAACAGAAGAATGTAAAATCTGGACTGTGGTCTGTCTATGGCACTGGGCTTTCACAAACGCCATCAATTCAATGTATTTCTGTACAGCCCTTAGAATGGTGGAAATGACCCGCCACAGATGAGTACATTTGGGTCTGAAAGGGTCAAAATTCAGCTTGAAAAAATATATATATGTAGGGCATTTTTTAAATCACTATGGCGGGTGAATTTGACCCAAGGGTAAGCACAAGGGTTAAAACCAGATTCTGTGGGGGACATTTCTTGTATCTTTTAAAAACAGGGGTCTCCAACCTGTAGCTCCTGAACCACCAGTAGCTCGCCAACCCCTTCCAGCTATAGCTCGCCAAAGGATTTAGAAATGAACACATCAAAGAATATTATCAAATATTTATTCTTGTAAATGCACTTATAGTAACAAATGTGCGATGATAAATAATGAATGTATCCTGTATTGTTCACGCCAATATATCACCACATTTTTTCCAGGGTTAAAGGAGTAGCTCTCTGCCTTTTTTGGTCCTGAAAAGTAGCTCTCAGGGTGAAAAAGGTTGGAGACCCCGGCTTTAAAACAAGATTGCTTTGCTTTGTCCCGTTGGCAAATTTGGTTTCAAGGCTAAGTCAGAATGTGCTCAAATTTTGTCCCTTTTCTATCTATTTTTCATCACTTTTTGCAGTGTATCTCGGAGGACTTCACAAAACCGTTGCAGAGAATCAGTTCAAACTCAAGAAATGCAATGACTAAAAAAAACACACAGAGCCCTTGGTCCATAAGCGCCAGAGACTAATGTCCATAAATGTCGATAAAGTCCATAAACGCTAAATTCCGAGGGTCCTGGATCATCATCAAACATCACGAGAGCTCTTCAGACTTCATAAATATGCTGGAATTAATCTGACAACCAATCTGCTGTAGGAACCATATGGCACTCCAAAAGTAGGTCAGGTTTGACGGGGGCCAACAATGCACTGACCAAGAGCTTTCTTCGAGCTCCTCCAGCCGTCACAGCCCACCACACTCGGGGAGGGAAGCAGACCCCAAGCCCTGAGAGTGAAGACCCGCGTGTGGAGGCTGTGAATAGAGCCGACTTTCTCCACGACGGCTCGACTCCCGCCTGGATCTATTCAATATTTGTGGAGCCGTCCGTCGTTTCAAAGCCAATATTTGGGGAGAAATGGGCCAAGATGCAGGGACTATCCTTTTGTGTCTATTTTGCATTTCTGTCAGACTGTACGACAAACGATGACGACTAACGAACGCAGAGGACCCGGTCAAAAAGTGCAATACAGAACCACATGTGTCACTTTACTGAGTCACTGTATTTCACACTTAACTATCCCCGCCGTTGAAACTAATGTGCCACCACTTTTGGCTTCTGTGGGCTTTTTCAAAATGGCCGCGGGGGCACTAGAAAATACTGTATTTTACACTTGCTTCTTTATTATGCAGACAAATAGTCACTCTGACAAAGACAATCTGCAATTTTCAAAAATATACCATAGTTTGCCTATCCTTTTGTATCTAGTTTGCATTTCTGCCAGACTGTACAACAAACAATGAGGATAACGAACACCGAGGACCTGGCTTCACATTGAAATACGGTCAGAAAGTGCAGCACAGAACCACATGTGTCCACTGTCACTTTACTGAGTCACTGTGACCCAGACCCTCAAGCTGCCAACACGTACAGGTGTAAACATACATCTGTACTTTCTTGCACAAAAATATACTGTATTTCACACTTGCTTCTTTATTATGCAAACAAATGGTCCCTCTGACAAAGCTTTACCAGCTCAAGACCATAGACTGTAAATATTAACAGACTTAGTCACGCCTATTTTTGACGCTGAAACTAATGTACCACCACTTTTGGCTTTAAGGTGTTTTTCAAAATGGCCGCGGGGCAGGAAAACTTGAATGCATTAGCCGGCACTAGCCCTATTCATTTGACGAAAGCCTTTTAAAGACTCTGAGGAGAATATTTACAAGGTTATTTGTTGCTGTACAGAATGTGGTTATGAGATGAAATCCCCAAAGTCTAGACCCGGGTGGTGGTCCTCTGTGGTCTAGACCCTGGTGGTGGTCCTCTGTGGTCTAGACCCTGGTGGTGGTCCTCTGTGGTTTAAACACAGACTCGGCTAAACTAGACTGGTACAAAAAAATACACTCCCCTCAGCATTGACAGCATCTGGACCAAGAGCGACTTTTGGACCATCCAGTAAAGCCAGTTTCAAGAGGAAAGAAGACGCCATACAAAAGCATTGGGTAATTCTTATTCCGGGTACACCCCCACAGGCCCAGAGTGGTTTTGCAAGCCTGTCAGCACACATGATTATGGACATTTTTGAGCTGGGACCCACCCCCACTGGTCAAGACTAATCTAGTGAGGGCTCTTTATCCACAATCTGCAATTTTCAACAATATACCGCGATTGTCAGACTATAAGCTGCTACTATTTTTAAGTTCTTTAAAATTTATGCATTTTTTTATTTTGGGAGCACATCTTTGGGGGAGCAGGAATGAATTCGGACACAGCTGTGATTTGTGTTTATGTGAATAGCAGAGAGACTCAACTAGAGGAAGCGCAGAGAAATACATCAGGACTTATTTTTAGAGCAGAGTTTGTCGACTAATTATTTTGATTCTGTCCAAGTTTTCGCAGCTATAAGACGCCTTGTTTATTATCCAAAAAGACCAGTTCAAACCGTCGTCTCTCTGCTTTGTTTTGCTCCACCAGCTGTTGGTTAAGTGCTTCCATACAACATGAAAATCTGTCTATACGTGGACGAAATGTACATTATTGTCAAATCTAACCGGATTGCTTTATACACAGGTGTGCTCAATGGTCCAACAAGTGCTGTACTTTGACTCTAAAGCAGAAATATCCACCAAAAACATCAATCTCAGTGTACAAGAAACATCATTTGCAAACCACAATGACATTCGGTACAACAGGGCGCTATATTTATCTCACTAAAGGGACAACTTTAAAAGAGAGTCACATTTCCTGTCCCTTACATCTTACCTCTGCACATAGTGAGAACTTTATAACAGATGTATTCTGAGCGAGGCCTCCAGAGAACAGTCAAAGTCACTAGCTTTAATTGTAGTCATTTTTTTCTCTAGTTAAGTACAAAGCAAAAGGTCATCAGTCAAACGATAAAGAATCAATACATTTGTCAAAAGCTGTAATTGATTCTTTAAACCCTGCGGCGTCTATAGTGATGCGGCCAATGCATGAGTTCAAATGTGCACTTTATTTTAAAGCGCTATGGGTTTGTACATTTTGTAAAGTCCTCCGAGAAAACTGAGATTTAGGGCAATAAGAAAATACTTTGAATGGAGTTACTATTGTCAGTAACTTGTAGAATAAGAGAGAGAAGGTCCTTTATTCATCCCACAATGGAGAAATATCAGTTTGATGCACATACACATTAGGGGTGGGAACCTAAGGGTACCTCACGATACGATACGATACGATACAATACGATACGATACAAAGCTCACGATAACGATATCACAATATGACGATTATTGATATATATTGGTCAATATAATATAGAATATAAGTGAAAGTGAAAAAATACACTTTATTTCATGATAAATGGAATGGAGATGCGTAATGTAGCCATATATTAAGTATTGATACTAATTTTAATAAATATATTGAAAAGAAATATTTTTAAAAAATTGCACAAAAAATAAATACAAGTATAACGATATATTGTCAAACCCCTAATACACATCAAGGCAAGCGAACAACACTTCCGCGCTCCTTATAGGCAAAGTGTCTTGCCCAAGGACACGACTACTGCAGACATCAGTGGGAGTCGGTGGAGAAGGTCTCGTGGTGGACTCGAACCCACAACCTTCAGGCTCAAAGGCCAATGCTCTACCAACTGAGCCACTGTCGCCACAATTATGTCTATCGTGCGTCTGTGTGGATGGATGCGTTTCTGCTACTGGACCTACATTTCTCCAAAGGGCAAATCAACAAAGCATCTATCTATCTATCTATCTATCTATCCATCTGTCTATCTATCTATCCATCCATCCATCGGTCTATCCATCTATCCATCCGTCTATCCATCTATCCATCCATCCATCCATATATCCATCCATCTATCTATCCATCCATCTATCCATCTATCCATCCATCCATCCATCTATCCATCCATCTATCCATCTATCCATCCATCCATCCGTCTATCTATCCATCCATCCATCCGTCTATCTATCCATCCATCCATCCATATATCCATCTATCCATCCATCCATCTATCCATCCATCCATCTATCCATCCATCCATCTATCCATCCATCCATCCATCCATCTATCCATCCATATATCCATCCATCTATCTATCCATCCATCTATCCATCTATCCATCCATCCATCCATCCATCCATCCGTCTATCCATCTATCTATCCATCCATCTATCCATCTATCCATCTATCCATCCATCCATCCATCTATCCATCCATCTATCCATCCATCTATCCATCCATCCATCCGTCTATCCATCTATCTATCCATCCATCTATCCATCTATCCATCTATCCATCCATCTATCCATCCATCTATCTATCCATCTATCTATCCATCTATCTATCCATCTATCCATCCATCTATCCATCCATCTATCTATCCATCTATCTATCCATCTATCCATCCATCTATCCATCCATCTATCCATCCATCTATCCATCCATCCATCCGTCTATCCATCTGTCTATCATCTTGACCGTCAAAATCAATAGAATACTCCACAGTTGCAGTCCTGGTCAAATATTAAAAACACAGAGACACACAACACTATTTTGTTTTGTAATTTCAAAAAACCCAAAGTCTTTTGCCCAGAACCACTTTGTTTGACCAGAAAATAACCCTGAGTCAGAGACGCTGATGTCTGCTGCTCGACCTTGGCTTATGTCACACACAAACGCACCAAAAAGCAACATGTCCGCCAGGCCCTCAGTCCTCCAGCCGTGTGTGTGTGTGTGTGAGTGTGTGTGTGTGTGTGTGCGCTGGTGAAGACTCGTCCTCAGTCCTGTTTATGGCCATTAATAATCCAAACCTTAACCGAATTTCAATGATGAATCCAAAGCGAGATGTACTTGACGTTCGCGCGGCAAGGTCAGTGCATTACCCGACCTGCCTGCGTCGGTAAAACTACTGCCAATGCTTATCATTAAAGTCAAATTAAAACCGGACATGAGCCACAACTCTCTGAACGCACTCGACAGAATATAGCACACCTTGGAAAACATCATATACACTAATATATATAGATAAAATCGCAGCATCTACAGCTAGCCAAAAAACATACCAGCTACTTATTATTGTATATTTTGTGTGATACTTGTGTGTTCTTCTTACTATTGTCCTGTATGTGCGCGGCAACATTGAAATTTCCCCCACTGTGGGTTGGGTCCTCTTATCTTACACACAGTTAAACGGACTCCAAACTAAACTGGAGCCACTTCTTGCATTATCTCAAGCAATGCATAGAAACAACAAAACCCCCCGGCTAACAAACAGGCCATAATAAACACACAAGTAATTCAAAAATACCAAATTGAACGAAAATCTGAATTGTGGGTCACCTGCTGATTAATGGAAAAAGTCCTGCTGATTAATGGAGAATTCAAATACAAAGTAAAGCTGGGATCAATTGCAGCAGCGACGAGAGAGAGAGAAAAATCAGGTTAGCAACATCAACAAGTCCAGTACTCGACTTTTGCATTAAGCTTTGCAAGAATAACAATGTGCCTCTGATGGTCGTCAAAGTAAATATCTGACTTCAAAATAGAAAAGGACAAAAAAATAGAATAACAAAGAAGAATGACGACATATAGATAGACCACAACTACGGTACACACACACACACATTTATACACAACTAAAAATAATACACTAATACTGGTAAGAATACATGTACCACCACGACCACCGTGTAGCTTCAGGCCGGACACATTCCTGTGGCCTTGAGCCTTCACAAACCAAAACACAAACTGCTGGTGAAATCCCTGAGTGTAGAGGCCAAAAGGACTGCCCTTTATGTGATCGTGGTCTTTCAAGAAACAGAAGAAGAAGAGTTTTCGCTCACAATTGAAAACTAGCAATCCTCCGAGAATCACAGGAGAAGCTAATTTGGCACATTGTATACGTTTACTATGTATGTGATGTGTCTGAGGTATTTATGATTGCTATATATTTAAGTAATCGCATAGAACCACATGTTACTGTCCCTTTGTCCCAGAGCCTCAGATGTAAACATACAACTATATCTTCACTGCAATAAAATACGCAAGATTTTAAACTCTATACTTATTATGCTAAAGCTACACATTTATACTTGCCTCTTTGTTATGCTAACGTTAGCGATGTCATACCTGGTTTTATTTTACTTTAGTCTAGAGTTATTGTTCATGTCTCTTGTGCTGTGTTGCTCCTCCTTCCTACTGGTCTGTAACCGCTGATGCAACACTGACATTTCCCCGCTGTGGGACGTGTAAAGGCTCTCTTCGTTCTTATCTTAAATCTCTGTCACTAGCACACCGTCCATTTCCTGCAGCAGCTAGTCCTCAGTGGCCTCAGAGGAGCTCCAGCCAATCACACAGGAGAAGCAGCATGATCGTCCACCATTTTGTTTTGTGCTCCTCAAGGTCTTTGAGTGTCCTCCTCAGCTCAGAGTGGAGCGGTCTCTATGCTCCCTGCTCCCTGCTGCTGCTGTCTCCTCTGCTGCTGCTGCTATCTTGTTTCACAGATGGAAGTGTTTAACTAGAAGAAAGCTGCGTCTTCCCCTCCACGCTGCACACTGTCATTGCCGTCAGCAGAGAAAGAAGAAGTGAGATGTGGAGCAAGATGGCCCCCTCTGTGCTTCTCACAGGAGAGAGCTGGGACTACACCACGGCAGAATGTCATGCACCTGCAGAGCCACAGCAAACTACAAAGCTAGAAATGCACTACTTAGACATTCTTGGGGCTAGTGATGAATCTTTCACAACAATCACTGCATTTAAACTGAAAGGTTAGATATATGTTAGATGTTATACTCATTGGGAGCCATAGTCTGAGAATACAAATGGACAATGCTAAACGCCTGCTAGCTCATGCTCAAGTTTTGCTCCAATTGACCTGCAATGAAAAGTAATCTCATCTAGTTCAGTAACCGTTTGTTTCACATTCACCATTTTAGGCTTAAAACATGTGAGGTTTCTCTCCCTGTGATCCTGGTGTTTATACTTTGATATTGTCTTTGTAAATCCAGATATGAGCCATATAAGGATTGACCAATCAGGTGCCCTAATTCACAGGGGAAACTCCAGCTTGCCTTAGCAACCGTCTTAGCAACACATCTGCCCCTGTTACAGCATGAAGCTAACGCAGTCGGAACAAATGCCAATCAGGAAAGGGTCTCCAGGTATCAATGCTAACACTATCACCCGGTCAGTCCACACCTCACATACGCAAAAACACAAGAGAATACAAAAACTAACAAACTTAAGCCCAACTGCTGAATCTTTCTGTTTTTGCCCATTTTGAGGTTGAGATCTTCTTGTATGATGTTTGCCTTTATGTTCAGCTCGAAGGTCAACTGTGGTTTTAACATGTGCTACATAAATAAATGTAACTTGGACTTTAACTCAAATTCCAAATGTCTGACAATAGGCTCCAGTGGGAGGAATTAAAGAGAACATGAAGGTGGATAAATGAAAGTCCATCTCACCGTTTAGCAAAAGAGATCAAGTCACTGTGATTTATAGTTTTAGATCATAACCATTCATAAATGTGACTGTTACAAAAAGAACAACTGATTTTCTGGCATTACATTTGTTTGTATCTTTTAGTTTATTCTGAATCGTAGACGATACGGTCTGCAGACTGTGAGATTATAGTCATAATCTAATCTTAACTTGTAGGAGTCAGTCTTATGCAGATTGTAAAAGAGTCTTTACAAACTTACTCTTTTACAATAATATGCTTTTATCAATCTGTTTTAGGGTGAGGGGTAAAGAGTTTCAGAGGGGCTTTAAAATGACAATGAGTCCAAACTCAATGCCATAATGGCTGACAATGCCTCACTGTACATTTGATCCCTCTCACAGAGAGCTTCTCCTGGTTCACCAAACTAACCTCTTGAGGTAAGCTCAACAAGTTTAAGAAGGAAAGATGAGAGAGCCATCAATATTAACTTACCACTGAGCCCTCCTTTCCAGGCTCTTAAATATTTAATCGTCTCTGGACAGCTCTGTTGCTTGTCGGCCTGGGCAGAGGATTCCCTCTACAAGACCACTCCTGTTCCTGCTTCAATGCAGGCCTTGTCCAGTGGCACCACACTGCCCAAGGAACGGGCGTCTCCAAAGAATTCAGGATTTTTTCCACCACAGGCAGACTAAAGCTCACAGAGAGTGAGAGACGAGGAGCACAAATGCACTGTGCTCCTAAACTTTATGCTAAGGTAGAAGACAGAGCAAGTCGAATGGAAATGTCTGTACATTTAACAGATTCCCACATGGCGCAAAGAATCGTGTTGATGTTCTTACAGAGCAGAGGAGGAACCAGTTTGTGCCGCGGTGTAACGTGGCAACTGACAACAGAAACTAATGACACCAAAGCTACTTCCTTGTTCCACTGAACAAACCCAGCTCAGAACCTGCTGTTTACACACAGCAGCGTTTAAGCACAGGAGAAGGTCAATTCACACAGATACAAAACAAAATGTTCATGTATTCACTAAAGGCTGATGTCCATGTGTGTGTCTGAGCCACACTGAGGCTCAGACACACAGCAGCAGGACCAGACTGCGTCTCATGAGCCATGCATCATGTCAAGAAAGCACTCAGTGAAGCATTTCAATTTGCTTTTGTGTGTCCCTCCTCTGCACCGCCTGAGGTTCAGCAGAGTGGACAGTGTGGACCGAGAGAGAGAAGAGACAGACTTAAATACTGTGTATTCAGGAGGAGGATTCTACCTTCTGACTATTTTAAATGACTAACATTACACTTTATTCTGTAGAAGCGACTTGTTCTTTGAAAGCCAGGTCAGTGCCATTGACAAAAACACAACATGTGGCAGTGGTTTCTGAAACAACAAGCCCAGAGCATTGAATACTAATGTCATTCATGGTTGGAGAAGAGCATATGGCTTCACCACTGAACCTAACCCGGTGTCAAGTGAAAGAAAAGCCACATTTCCAGATCTCCTGTTTTGTTCTCTCAGTGTGGGACTCATGGCCACAGCTCAGACCTGTTCCTGCGTCCATGCCAGTGTGTGGACTCTCCTTCAGAACCTGTTTGCCCTGCCATGCCAGGCGGAGAGGGAGTTGCGCCACCATTTTGATTGCTCTTCTCAGCTCCAGCATTGTCGCAGCACACTGTGTCAAGCTCACAGTCTCCTTGTCAGCAGGATTTCACACAGTGGTCAGGGGGAAACTGCAGAGCTCGTGTCTCAAAAACATCCAGCACTTTGCCCAGCACACACACACACACACACACACACACACTACAGAAAGCCAGGTTAGCATACTAGTGTGTCAAAGCAAGGAACCATTACCAAGATATGCTTATAAAGAATCACGTCACATAGCATCTAGAGGACCAACACAATTTGTTTGATGCAGCAACAGCAACAAAAGCAGAGGGAACTACATAGACCATGATCCTTTGCTCCATATCAGTGCACACATCCAGAAATACATGCTATAATTCACAGCTGTTAACCAGTAAGAAGTAATACTAAGAGTTTGGGAGACATTTTAAATAGCAATTTCTCATATGTTAAATAAACAGCTAAAAACTAAGAAAAGGGAACTACATAGACCATGATCCTTTGCTCCATTTCAGCGCAGACATCCAGAAATACACGTGATTCATCATCGTTCTTGACAACAACTATGTAAATTTCTACATTGTGTTAAATTGTGAGATTGTGTGATGTTATTGTTAAGACTTAAATTGTCTATATATTGTACTGTTACTTTTCAAAATCTCACTGTGTTATTATTGTTATAATTGTCTCTTTTTAATGTACTGTGATTATTTTAATGCCTTGTCTGATTGTTTCTATTGTGTTTTTGTTAAGCTCTTGCCTTGTGAATAAACGTGCCTTATAATGGAGCCACATGTCATCCAGCCTAATGCAAACTACATTGTGACTATAATTGGTACTTATTTAAGTGATCTTTAGCCCCGTTTCCACCTGCTCTAGTCTGCTCTAGTCTGCTCTAGACTGCTCTAGTCTACTCTAGTCTACTCTAGTCTACTCTAGTCTACTCTAGTCTCCTCTAGTCTACTCTAGTCTACTCTAGTCTCCTCTAGTCTACTCTAGTCTACTCTAGTCTACTCTAGTCTACTCTAGTCTCCTCTAGTCTCCTCTAGTCTCCTCTAGTCCACTCTAGTCCACTCTAGTCCACTCTAGTCCACTCTAGTCCCCTCTAGTCTCCTCTAGTCTCCTCTAGTCTACTCTAGTCTACTCTAGTCTACTCTAGTCTAGTCTAGTCTACTCTAGTCCCCTCTAGTCCCCTCTAGTCTCCTGTGATTGGCCGCACTGCTACGGGATACCAGTTTATTGTTGCTAGGTCACTAGGATCCGATACCAGATACTCAAGTACAATGGAAACACAACCAGAGCCGAGTAGAGTAGAACCAAGCTGGGCTGGTGGAAACGAGGCTTTTCATATGTAACACAGTCCAAGTGAAATTAAACAATTGCTTTTATATTATAATAACATACATTTAAATGATATTTCCTGCTTAACAAATGCCATCTACATTTCCATAAAACAACCCACTGCTGAAAACGAGCGTCCAATAAATACTCAATAATCTGGGAGAATTTCCTCAAACAATCCAGGCTGCAGAAGTTTCAGCAAGTGTCAAACCCCAATCTATCAAACATTAACCAGGTCCAAAACACAGCTCCAGAACCATTCCCACAGCACGGCTCCACATGCTCCTGCAGCATGGAAACAACGCAGGCTCGGGTTAATGTTCAAGCCGTGAGCAAAAGCAGAGAACGTACTTTACTTGACTTGACTTTAGCAGGAGGTTCTCGTCTTCCTCTAAACTTTGTCACAAAAGCAGAAGTGGAGGAAGGAAGGAGAACATGCTCCAGAGTGCGCCTGCTCCACTCAGGAACTCATCCAGTCTTCCTCCATTTTAAGGAGAGACCAGCTCCAGGAGGTGCTGTGTCCGAGAGAGAGGCTACCTACTCTGGCCACACGCCGCACAAAGACACACGTACACGGCGAGCGCAGAGAGCCTCCTCGGTCCACCTCCAGCAGGGTTCCCAACATGAGGAACCTGCACAGTGTCCACCTGGTCCGTGTGTGTTTATGGTTTGAATGGAGGAGGCTGTGCTACTCATGGACATGGCTTTGCTTTCATGGTGCCGTGTGTGTGTATCCATGTGTGTGTATCCATGTGTGCGTGTGTGTGTATCCCATGTGTGCGTGTGTGTGTATCCATGTGTGTGTGTGTGGACGCTATGGCAGCCCCTCTGTCTGTCGCTAATGGAGGCTGAGGGAGCAGAGCATGTAGCTTCTCCATGAAGCTAGCACACTGCAACACACACACACACACAGAGACACACACAGACACACACAGACAGACACACACACAGACAGAGTCACACACAGACACAGTCACAGGGGACAAGGACAAGGACAGAGGACAGTGACCCCCACACATGTCCGACCATCTCCCTGCTCCTGCTCCTGCTCCTGCTCCTGCTCCTGCTCCTGCTCCTGCTCCTGCTCCTGCTCCTGCTCCTGCTCCTGCTCCTGCTCCTGCTCCTGCTCCTGCTCCTGCTCCTGCTCCTGGGCTAACACCAGAGCGTCCATTTCCTTGTGTCACTTTGACACAGACGAAGGCGACACTGCGAAGAAGCGCAGGGGCTCTGGGCTCAGGGGCTCTCTGGGCTCAGGGGCTCTGGGCTCAGGGGCTCTGGGCTCAGGGGCTCTGGGCTCAGTGGCTCTGGGCTCAGTGGCTCTGGGCTCAGGGAGCTTCGTGCGGAGCCGCTGGACTGAGCCGGTCCTGGTTCGGCTCCAGTCTCAGTCTAGGACCTGGACTTGGTCTAACGCTGCTTTTGCAGTCACCACTTTGCAGGTCATTCTCGAGCAGCTCTTCCACATTATCCATGAGCCTCCACTACACGTTCTCCAGACCTTGTAAGATCTTTCCGAAACTGCGAATAAGATCGAAATACTCACTGGCTCGGTCTTCTCCAGAACAAATCCTCCCAGAAGTTGTCCTCGTATCTCATGCGTGCGCTCGGTCTCTCTAAAGGATGATCGCCATCTTTCCTGCTTCTCCTTTGCTGCAGCTGCAGATGACCTGAGATCCGTCTGTCTCTGAATAATGAGCAACCACACAGACAAGGAAGACAATCTGCAAAGCAGGCTACACACAAAGAAGTTTGGGAGCCTAGCAAGCACCAGAGGGTGCACAAGAGTTTAGGATGAGACGGAGCAGCAGCAGCAGTGTGTGAGAAGCTCATCCTTCATCTGCTCAAGTGTCTTCTTGGCGAAGCTTTACGCGCAGCCACAGTCTGAGCCACACATTCTATACTCTCCATAGTGGCCACGTCATGAGGTTATCTGCAGTTCACTCTGAGCTACCTATACCCACCTTTTACATCCTGCACCCGTCCCACAGGGGAAATGCCAGTGTTGCAGCACAAGTTACAGAACAGAAGGAGAAGCACAGAACAAGACATGAGGATAATAAATATAGCACAACTCTACTGGAAAATAATAACATGAAACCTGAAAGTATACACCTATGTACACAAAGCAGATAAATAAATGTGTTTTCTCCTCATGGTCACATTGACGGACACAGACAGAAGAACATTTATGAGGCTAATATATAATATATATGTGTCTTATGTAAACAAACACAACAACATCCATCTGAGGAGTTGGGTGAAAAACAGCTGACTGAGGTCTGCATGACTGCTGCTGCTGCTGCTGCTGCTGCTGCTGCTGCTGCTGCTGCTGCTGCTGCTGCTGTGCTGCTGCTGCTGCTGCTGCTGCTGCTGCTGCTGCTGCTGCTACTGCTGCTGCTACTGCTGCTGCTGCTGCTGCTGCTACTGCTACTGCTGCTGCTGCTGCTGCTGCTACTGCTACTGCTGCTGCTACTGCTGCTGCTGCTGCTGCTGCTACTGCTGCTGCTGCTGCTGCTGCTGCTACTGCTGCTACTGCTGCTACTGCTGCTGCTGCTGCTGCTGCTGTTGCTGCTGCTACTGCTGCTGCTGCTGCTACTGCTGCTACTGCTGCTACTGCTGCTGCTGCTGCTGCTGCTGCTGCTGCTGCTGCTGCTGCTACTGCTGCTGCTGCTACTGCTGCTGCTGCTGCTGCTGCTGCTGCTGCTGCTGCTGCTACTGCTGCTGCTGCTACTGCTGCTGCTGCTGCTGCTGCTGCTGCTGCTGCTGCTGCTGCTGCTGCTGCTGCTGCTGCTACTGCTGCTGCTGCTGCTGCTGCTGCTGCGGCTGCTGCTACTGCTGCTGCGGCTGCTGCTACTGCTGCTGCTGCTGCTGCTGCTGCTGCTGCTGCTGCGGCTGTGTCCAGCCTGCAGACAAAGGAGACAAAGGTGCAGGTCCTCCTCAGATGTATGTCAGAGCTGCAGGGTGGGGGCTGAGTGGCACAGGGTGGAGGGGGGAGGGGGGAGGGATGTGGCTCAGAGAGAGATCAGGACACAGGCAAATAACATCAACACAAACTCCTTTTCGAACAATGTTTATTTGGAGCAGATTGATTTCTACTATTTTCTCATTCTCTCATTCTGAGATTGTCCAAGTGTTGAGTAGATTCTCCTCAAAACTTTGTTCAACTTAGCAGGAGACCAGTCCCTGTGCTCCTCAGAGTCCCAGCAGGAGGCCAGTCCCTGTGCTCCTCAGAGTCCCAGCAGGAGGCCAGTCCCTGTGCTCCTCAGAGTCCCAGCAGGAGACCAGTCCCTGTGCTCCTCAGAGTCCCAGCAGGAGGCCAGTCCCTGTGCTCCTCAGAGTCCCAGCAGGAGGCCAGTCCCTGTGCTCCTCAGAGTCCCAGCAGGAGACCAGTCCCTGTGCTCCTCAAAGTTGAGGTCATGGAGAGACTTGTAACAATAATAGCTGATTAAAGGTCTATTCTCTGAGCCACAGGTGCAGAGACCTGAGACCAGGACTTATGTGATGCTACTTCCTGGTTCTAGTCTGGACTAATGTTATGCTACTTCCTGGTTCTAGTCAGGACTAATGTGATGCTTCTTCCTGGTTCTAGTCTGGACTAATGTGATGCTACTTCCTGGTTCTAGTGTGGACTAATGTGATGCTTCTTCCTGGTTCTAGTCTGGACTAATGTGATGCTACTTCCTGGTTCTAGTGTGGACTAATGTGATGCTTCTTCCTGGTTCTAGTCTGGACTAATGTGATGCTTCTTCCTGGTTCTAGTCTGGACTAATGTGATGGTACTTCCTGGTTCTAGTCTGGACTAATGTGATGCTATTTCCTGGTTCTAGTCTGGACTAACGTGATGCTATTTCCTGGTTCAAGTCTGGACTAACGTGATGCTACTTCCTGGTTCTAGTCTGGACTAATGTGATGGTACTTCCTGGTTCTAGTCTGGACTAATGCGATGGTACTTCCTGGTTCTAGTCAGGACTAATATGATGGTACTTGTCACTCCCGTATTCATCCCGGAAACCGGATTCGTCCGGAAGTTCAGTTTGCGCATGTCAAAAAGTTCAAAACGTCCTTAAGTGGTGACTGGTTAAGTTTCGGCGTCTGATTAAGATGGTTAAGTTTAGGCAGGAATAGGTAGTTTTTTATATTTACTTCCGCTTCCGTCCAGATTCCGTGACGTAATCTACTGCTGCCTGTGCTCATTGGATCAAACTGAACTTCCGGACGAATCCGGTTTCCGGGACGAATACGGGAGTGACAGTACTTCCTGGTTCTAGTCTGGACTAATGTGATGCTTCTTCCCACTTCCTGGTTCTAGTCTGGACAAATGTGATGCTACTTCCTGGTTCTAGTCTGGACTAATGTGATGCTACTTCCTGGTTCTAGTCTGGACTAATGTGATGCTACTTCCTTGTTCTAGTCTGGACTAATGTGATGCTACTTCCTGGTTCTAATCTGGACAAATGTGATGCTACTTCCTGGTTCTAGTCTGGACTAATGTGATGCTACTTCCTGGTTCTAGTCTGGACTAATGTGATGCTACTTCCTGGTTCTAATCTGGACAAATGTGATGCTACTTCCTGGTTCTAGTCTGGACTAATGTGATGCTACTTCCTGGTTCTAGTCTGGACTAATGTGATGCTTCTTCCTGGTTCTAGTCTGGACTAATGTGATGCTACTTCCTGGTTCTAGTCTGGACTAATGTGATGCTGCTTCCTGGTTCTAGTCTGGACTAATGTGATGGTACTTCCTGGTTCTAGTCTGGACTAATGTGATGCTACTTCCTGGTTCTAGTCTGGACTAATGCGATGGTACTTCCTGGTTCTCGTCCGGACTCGAGCTGCTTATTTGCAGACGCCAGTGAGTAGAACTATAATCCCAGCGACTGGAGACAATGTGATTTTATATAATCTGCTCATCTGTGTCTAAACTAAAGGGACTGTTTGGTGAATATCATGGGGCATGTGCAGTAAAGGCAAGTTTATCTGTATAGCACAGTTCATACTCAAGGCAACTCAAAGTGCTTCAAAACAACACCTCAAAAAGTCATGAAAAGTTGAATTATCTCATTTCAGTATAGTATAAGAAGAGAGTACTTTCACTGAAAAAAGTAAAATCTTAGTATGGTTTAATTACTAAAAATAACAGCAGGTTTTTAGCTTGAATGTAGTTTGTCATAACATTATTTTACTATAGTTTTAAGAAAATAATTCATCATAATCTTCTTAAAGAAAAAAGTCTGAGCAGTGAGTGTTTAAGCTTGTTTTAATATTTGTTTTCTTACTTCCTTACAATTGTTTAGATAAAAGGGCCCTCTTTCCAGGCTCTCTCCCTAGTCTCTCCCTCAGGTTTCTCTCTCTGGCCTCTCCCTCTTAACCTTGCCTGCAAGCTGAATTCTCGCGGTATTTGTGAGTTCACAAACACTCGAGAATACATCTTGAACCGCTCCCGCTTACACTTTTCGAGTCGAACCACTGGGTGTGCGAGCCAATCACGCGCCAGTCTGGGGGTTTAGGGCGGGATATCCGGGTTTGACGAAAGCAAGAAGTGCCGGGCCGAAGCAAAACAAACATGGCTACGCAAGAGGACGGACGCAAAGTCAGTTTTAGCAGAATCTCCAATTTCTTTTTTGAAAGATGAACAGCGAGAGGCGCTTTGTACATTTCTGGACGGCAACCTTGGTAGGCGGGCACACAGCGTCACTTCGCCCAATCAGCTTCATGTATTCTGCTGCTTACCCCTCCTTTCCCCGAAAGGATTCTCCGGGAGAAATCCCAGATTGATATCGCGGAGAACGCGTTAGAGTTCTACACAATCATCAATCTGGCTTTTGCCAGGTTATCTCCCTCTGGTCTCTCCCTCTGGTCTCTCCTTCTGGTCTCTCTCTGTGGTCTCTCTCTGGTCTCTCTCTGTGGTCTCTCTCTCTGGTCTCTCCCTCTGGTCTCTGGTCTCTCTCTGGTCTCTCTCTCTGGTCTCTCCCCCTGGTCTCTCTGGTCTCTCCCTCTGGTCCCTCTCTCTGGTCTCTCCCCCTGGTCTCTCTGGTCTCTCCCTCTGGTCCCTCTCTCTGGTCCCTCTCTCTGGTCTCTCTGGTCTCTCTGGTCTCTCCCTCTGGTCTCTCTCTCTGGTCTCTCCCCCTGGTCTCTCTGGTCTCTCCCTCTGGTCCCTCTCTCTGGTCCCTCTCTCTGGTCTCTCTCTCTGGTCTCTCCGGTCTCTCTGGTCTCTCCTTCTGGTCTCTCTCTGGTCTCTCTCTGTGGTCTCTCTCTCTGGTCTCTCCCTCTGGTCTCTGGTCTCTCTCTGGTCTCTCTCTCTGCTCTCTCCCCCTGGTCTCTCTGGTCTCTCCCTCTGGTCCCTCTCTCTGGTCTCTCCCTCTGGTCTCTCTCTGGTCTCTCTCCCTGGTCTCTCTGGTCTCTCCCTCTGGTCTGGTCTCTCCCTCTGGTCTCTCCCCCTGGTCTCTCTGGTCTCTCCCTCTGGTCCCTCTCTCTGGTCTCTCCCTCTGGTCCCTCTCTCTGGTCTC